TGCATACTGAACATGAAATATGTTGGCTTGACTTACTGAAGTCAAAACGGAGGGGCTCAAATACAATTAACTCTTCAACTGCTGTGCTTAATAGCAATAAAAAATAAAAAATAAATAAATAAAATACAACAATTTTGAGTACCTGTCCACTATAGTGACCATTAAGCATCAAAGGGTTAAGTCTGTTTTCAAATAGTTTTTCAAGAATCTTTGAAAATGTAGGCAGCAAAGATACTGGTCAATAATTTGACACAACCTGTTCATCTCCATTTTTATATAATGGGATTACTTTGGCAATTTTCATTTTATCTGGAAAAATTACCGTTTGAAATGATTTGCTACAAATATAAGTTAATGGCTGAAGGATACTATAAAGAACTTCTTTAACTAATGACATATCAAGGCCGTCACAATCCATGGATTTTTTACTCTTAAATTTACTCACCACATCTTTAATATCACTCTCACATTGAGTTACATTTATAAGAAGTAGAATTTAAAAAGTTGTTGTCATGTCTTCCTGGTACAGAAATCTCTTTTGCCAAATTGGGACCTACATTAACAAAGTAATCATTAAATTCGTTGACTATACATTCAGTATTCTTAATCACTACATTACCTTCTTTTACAATACATGTTGGAAAACATATATTCTGATTTTATATTATCTTATTAAGTACCCTTCAGGCAGCCTTTACATTGTTTTTAGATTTTTGAAGCAGCTTTTCATAATACCTTTTCTTTTCAGATCGCAAATAGTTGTTAATTTGTTTCTATATTTCTTGTATTTGTCTTCATTTTCCTTAGTTCTATTTGTCAAAAAAAATCATATATAACTTGTTTTTCCTTTAACAGGCTCTTTCCAGACCTTTTGTCAACCATGGTTTTTTCTTTTTGAGATTTTCAGAAAACTTTTTTAGTGGACAATGGCTGTCATAGATTGACAAAAATATGTCTAGAAATGCATTAAATGCATCATTAGTGTCTGCCACGTAAACCCTTTTCCAGTGATAATTTTCTAATTCTCTTTTAAAAGCTGCAATGTGTTCTGGTGTTTTTATTCTACCAATGTAATCAATCTTTTCCTCTCGAATATTAAAATTGATTATTCATTTCAAGCACTGAAAAGACAGGCAAGTGATCACTGACATCCGTGACTAATAGTCCACTGTGTATTTTACCATCTATCTTATTAAAAAAAATGTTGTCAACCAAAGTGGCACTACCCATCTTTATTCTGCTGGGCGTTAGAATCAACGGATAGAACCCAAAACTAAACATTGTATCAGTAAATTCAGAAGTCTTATTGTGATCATTTGCCTTCAATAAATCAATATTAAAATCACCACAAGATAAAGTCGTCTTTTCTTTGTGTTTTTCCAGTATTACAGACATTTCTCTGATAAACTGCTCTATGCACGATGCAGGTGTACGATAAATACAGCTAACTAATATGTTTTTAGATCATTGAACTTGAATTTCGATAGTTACACATTCCATCTAGTTATCAACCACAGCAGTCATATTGTTAACAACTTTACATTTAAGACAAGTCTATCCTTCTCGTAACATTTGTAGCGTCACAAAGGGCCTCTAATTTGTGACAAGGGTCACATTTTCCCAGCTGGGTCCACTGTAACTTTGCCCCACAGATTAAACACGCAAGGAGCCATGATGTCTGCTGAAACTCATCATTATCTGCTGCTGTTCCGTCCCAGGATGAAGGACACTTCAAGTTCACAATAATAATTTTAAATAATAATTTTAATAAACTCTTTGACTTTATTACTGTTATTATAATCATCATAAATAATCACTTGATTCAGTAAATGTATTTTAATTACTGAAATTAATTATTATGCTTTGGGTATAATAATGATTATTGTGACTATGTGGGTTCATTAAACTAGAAGGTCATCCTCCATTTTATCCATCCAACGCAGAGGGCTTATCCAGGGTAAAAGTTAAACTGCCATCACATCTTTACTCATGACCAAGCTTTCTGAGGCTGAGAGTGGGCGCGTTCTGTGGTTTTGTTAAAACTAAATCTTCCGCAGCTGTGACTTCAGTTCTTGAACCATACGAGGAGACGAGGGAACGGCCGTCCGAATGTCCACTTGCTGTTCTGTCACGCCGATAGAATAGCTTCAAATAAACGTACCTGTAACCAGCTGGTGCAATACTCCTTCAGAGTTATTGATTTTGAGAGTTAAGACGCAAAACTCCTTCAGAGTTAAGCCAGACGCTCAACACCGTGTACCCTGCGACATCTCTGGACCAGAGGATCGGTTCTACTCGCAACTTCTCTACCGGACCGAGTACCCTGAGGCTGACAACATCCTCCTTGACCTCCGGATCCACACAGAGGGTCGTCTTGCTGGGTGAGGTAGCACACAAGATGGTGTTTGATGCTGTTCTTCTAAGAAACGACTCAGTTAGCTGCAAAACCATCATTTCCAACCCAGAACTCTGGGTTGGGTCTCTCGCTGAAAAAAACCTTCTGAGAACATTCACGCATCCAAAACTCTCATTTCATTTTAGCTTTCCATCCAGAAACAGGTAAAGCTTTTGATTCCAAGTTCAATATCAAAGCTGGTAAATTGTCATTTAAATTGTCATCCATGAATTGTCATTTTTAACTGTTGTTTCAAATTGTCAAGTTTAAAATTGTTAGTAATAAATTCTTAACTTTAAAATCTTGACTCTCTTCTTGAAATTAAACACAGAATGGTGTGTATTTCTGGTTATTGAAAAAGCAAAGATTCCTTTAACTCCTGATTAAATAAACTTTTGCTATTAAATTTAATTATCTTAAATTAAACATTAATCTTTGGATTAAAATTAGACCAAGCTCGTTGGCATATGAACTTCTATCGATTATATAAGTATCCTGGATATTTATACATGATATAAGCTTCATGTGCTAATTTGCTTGATCACTCTCAGAATCTAACAACTGATAGCAAACAGTGTTGATTCTAGTATGTAGTTTACACGCTACACATTTATTGATATAAATATAACACAAAACACAGATTATTGAAAAAAGGACACATCAGCAGCAACTTCAAACAAGTAACAACGACTAAACTTTCTCACTAACCAAATTAACACCAACACTTCAAAAGACCATCACATAACTTCCTCAACCAAGTGATGTCTTATTTAAAGCAAAGGGGCCCCAGGTTGAGACTGATCAGAGAGGTCTACTTGATAGCCTCTGCCTGTGTGGCAGTTTGTGAGGCCCTTTGGAGGCTGCTTTTAAATTGAAAAAGACTCATCTCCCACAATGTGTCTAAACCTCCTAATGTTGCGACCCCCCGAGCTGGGCCGTAACAAGAACCATTGCGGGCTGGGACAACTGGGTTGGAACCAATACCGGGAGAGACATGCAAATTTATAAGTCCATTTTTTCCCATTTAACCCAGTTTTATGAGCAGTTTAATCCTTTATAGGCAAGGCAGCTTTATTTATAGAGCACATTTCAAACACAGAGGCAATTCAATGTGCTTATAGGGCACTCATTGAAGTAGCCACATTTTTTAAATTTCAACCCCAGGGTGTTATCGTGGTATATAATCAAAGTGTATTTCTGTTGTTCCAATTTTCAAAAATATTTATTTTCATGCAGAAAATCTGAGAAAATCTGGTTCTGTAGACACACCAATATTTGGTTCTCTATGGCATCACACTGATCGGTGGAATGACGCAAACTGTGAATGGCTTGATCTTTGATAATTGTTTGTGTGAAATCTCCTAATTCTAAGAGTTTGTGAAAAGGCCCATCGACATCATTTATGATGTGAGTGGAAGTGCCTAAATATGGACGTTGGCCCTATAAAGGGTTAACTCCATCGAATTACCTCATGGCTCCCAGAGAGTTGTACTCTTCTTCAATAACTTTTTTTGCTGCCTTCTCTTTTTCTGACATCTTTCCGCCACATTGCCACAGGAACTTGAAGCTGTGTGTTAAAAAAATAAAACCAGATAAATATAAAAACATCAGACTGCAGCTAACTGAGTGCAGAAAACAGATTAAGAGTCAGAGTTCATGAATTTCACAACCTCAAGGAGGCTCAAGGAATAGCCTCTTGTTATTTGCTCTGGTTCTGCTTCTGCTGGCAGAAATGTTCTCTAGAGAGGCACGTCATCCACTGTCTGGAAACATTTCCTGTCAGCCTCAGGTCAGTTTCCATGCCAGACATATAGAAGATGCTCTCTATTACACACCAGTGTGAAGTAATGATAAATGACCTGCACTTGTATAGCGCCTGTCACAGTCACATACACAGTGGTGGTGAGCTACTATTTAGCTGCAGCTGTCCTTGGGCGCACTGACAGAGAAGAGGCTGCCGAGCACAGGCACCACCGGTCCCTCCGACCAGCACAGCAGGCAAGGTGGGATAAGTGTCTTGCCCTGGGAGCTGGAATCAATACTTTAACCTTGCGATTGTGGGACACACACACCAATGCACAGGGCTCTGCTAGCGGCTACTAAATGAAATAATTTGAAGAACTTGCCTTGCTTGGACTGATGCAGCATTTGGAGAAAACACATCAGCCTCTTCACTTAACTTTAAAAATAAACCTCCTGAAGTTCCTGACGCAGACATTTGGGAAACAAAGACACATGCTGCCGGGTGGCACCGGAAACTTTACAAAAGTGGAGGTAAGCTACATTTTTAACATTTATGTAACATCTGTGCATCGCTGAAGCACCAGGCAGAAAGACGTTTTACTCGTAGCAGAAGTTTATGAAAGTAGTCAGACGACCAGCTGGGAGAACGCTCCGTGTTCTCACTACTCTGTAAACAGTCACAAGCAACGTGTGTTAAAGTAACAGAAACTTTCTATAATCTCTATGGTGACTTTCTAAACTATTCTGTCGGTTTATTATATGTTTCTGAGACGAGTGACTGTCTAAACATCCCGTGTGTTACTATAATTCAGCAGTGAGGTGTGTTGAAGCTGTCATCAGCTGATCAGGTGCTAAGTGGGCAGATGTTTACTTCCAAATGCATCAGGGGCAACAAGGAAGAGAACATTGTTATCAAGCTGGAGATCACACCAGATTTGCTGCTGCAGGTGTGAATCTGCGGGTCTGCAGCATCCCCTTCTAGATGGGAAAGCGGGACTTCCCATGTAAGGAAGATCTGCTCACTTGTTCACCGCTCAGGCATCAGATCATTATTTCCTCGTCATAATCTTTTATCTTCCTATCATCCTCCAGTCATCCAACTGGAACCATTTAGTGTTCCTGATCATTTCATTAGTCCTGCTGTAACACTGGCTGCTGTTAAAAGTCAGTAAATTTAAGTCCTCCATCATTTTTGTGCATGTTTTAGTCTCATTTTTGAGGATTTTTATTTATAGAAATGCTTTTACTACAGTATGAGAAATAGAAATGTTAGTAAAAACACCCAATTATACAAAAGTGAAACTGGAAAAATTTAAATATGGTGAAAAATTCCATTTATTTCATTATTTTTGACTAGACAGAGACCATTTAAAGGCTCAGGAACACTTTGCAGATGTTTACTGTTTGCAATTAAACATTTTTGTTCATTTGTGTCTTACACAGTGACATTTGAATAATTAAAATGCATTTTTTATTTTAAATTTAAAGAGCTTGAATTTATAATAATAATACCCATGTCTGATATTTGATTCTTTGCCTCATTATTTTATTAAAAACTTGTTTTGATGGCACATTTTCCTGAACGATTAAACTGTTATCATTTTAGATTAATTATGTACAAAGCCTCTAATTACTTAGATGCTTTTTATATCAGGTCCCACCCCCTAGTTAAAAGACATCCAGCTTTAAAGTCACAAAAACTTTTACAAATTACAAACCACATTTCAAAGATTTTTTTTTAAATGTGAAATAATTTGGTTGAGATTTGACCGTTCTGTGGGAGCACCACATTAGGAGCTAACAGGCTTTGTGTTCTCTGTCCACACGTAGCCGGGGATCTGCCAAAACGTAGATATTTATCTACCTTTTGGTCTGTCATCCACACGAAAACGGAGTTTTTTCACACGAAAACGGATCTTTTTAAAAACTCCGGCCAAAGTGAAGATCTGCGTTTTCTCCGTTTTGGGTGTCTGCGTGTGGACGGACAAAAACGGAGTTTTAAGGTCCGCAACGTCACTTTCCGCGACAAAAAATGCTGACATCACGTGTCCGACCTGTGTTTACACTAGCCGACAGCATGGATGCCTTCAGAGCTGCGCTCTGTCACTACCCGATCCATCAATTGTCCAAGCGCTTTCTGCTTGTTTGTTTTTGCAAGCGGAATTACTGCTCCTTGCGGAAGACCACAGACGAAGGACGAGGTTAAGAACGGGGGAAGTACTGCCGCCTACAGGTCTGGCATGTCCTTAACAACATATTTATCCGGGTACGTGTGGACAGAGTTCTTTTTTAAAACGAGGTGGTGTGGATGCAAGTTTTTGGAGGGGCGGATATTCGTTTTTAAAAACCCCGGCTACGTGTGGACTAGGCCTGAGGCCCTCTGGTCTGACGCCTGACAGATGTGTTTCCTGATACCTGATGCTTATTCCAGTTCTGTCTCACATCTTAGATCAGCTCTATTTAAATGAACAAACACGAGCTTTACAATATCTGCTGAACATGAGGCAGAAGGTATTTGAAATGATGCAAAAATAAAAACAAAAAACTATTTAGAACGACACAGGTGATCAACACTGAGGACCTGATTGAAACTCACTCTGAGCCAATGAACAGCCAGTACAACCAGATCCACGTCAGCAGGAGCATCATAACGCTGATGGGAAGGCACAGCAAGAGCCAGTTCCCAAAGTTGATATCATTGCAGTCTGGGTAAATTCTGAAAGTAAAGACATGATGAGACTCTTTTAACGATCAATTTCTTGTCATTGTTGATAAAGCAGACTGTACTTCATGCAGAACCTGTGATTCTTCAGTGTTTGCAGCAATGTGTTGTTGTGAAGAGTTCAGTCTATCTTTAATTTTCTGTGCTCAGTGATACAGCTCTGGCACTTTTTTAATAATAATTTATCTGTCAGAATTCAACGTGTCATGTTAAAAAGACGGAACCTCTACTCCTCTCACAAAACGCCCAGGTGTGACTCAAGGATCGTCTTGCTCCACTCCTGTTTTCTATTTTCATAAATTAATTAGAAATGAATTAAATTCAGCCAAAAGACATTCATATGCTGATGATAGAGTTGTTCACATGACCTCTTTACATCAGGTATGAGAGCCTCCAAAAGATGCCTTTAACACTCAACAGAAATCTCAGTTGCAACTAAAATTCACTGGAAGCTCAAGGAAAGCTAAATTTGTGACCTTTTCTCGCCTGTGACCTGAAACAGTCAGTCCCTTTATTAGAACATTAGAAGGTACCTATTATTATTATTATTCAGGAAATTTAGAGCTGCCAACATATTGATACATGTCTAACCTTCTCAGTGGCCTTGTGGTGTGGAGTTTCCGCCCTGGGACTGGGAGATCGGGGGTCAAATCACGGTCGAGTCATACCAAAGACTTTAACAATGGGACCCAATGCCTCCCTGCTTGACACTCAGCTTTAAGGGGCTGGATTGGGGGGTTAAACCACAAAATAGTTCCCGAGCGCAGCCACAGCTGCAGCTCACCGCTGCAGCTCACCGCTTCCCATGGGGAGGGGTCAAATGTGGAGATGAATTTCACCAGTGTGTGATGAATTAATTGGACTAATGTACTCTGTCTAGTCACCTACTGATTGAGATACTCAGAGAAGATGAGGTTGGGGGATGTTCCTGGCAGTGTTGTGATGCCGCCAATGCTGGATGAGTAGGCGATACCGATGCACATGGCTTTGCATAACATCCGGTCCTTGTGATTACTGCTGGCTTCCACAGATGCACATACTGCAGCCTTTTTGAAAAGACACATACAGAAAATATTCATTGAGGAGAAGCATGAAGAGGAAAAAATTCATACAAAAAAAAAAAACTGTCACTGCCGTAGTATTCACAGAGCTCCAGAGGATCCTGGCTCAGTATGAGCAGCCATCCACTGTGACTCACTGGGGATGGAGAAGACAGCGCACACACACACACACACACACACACACACACACACACACACACACACACACACACACACACACACACACACACACACACACACACACACACACACACACACCAACATATATACCAAGAAGTGTTTCTATGGTTACATTGTGATTTCTTAGTAAATATTCTAATTAGGGAGAGATAAACTTTGTTGCATTTATCCTAGTGAATCTATAATTAAACGGGTAAACCAGGAGTAGCACATTCAATGTCAAAGAGAATAAAGTGTTATTATCAGGAGAAGGAGAATGTTTGTGGTTAGCAGCAGTGTGCTAGCCAAAGGCCCCCTCCATGAGAGCACCACAGCTCAGCAGAACATCATTGTAGCTAATTCTGGGGAGGAAAATACTTAGAGAAAAAATAAAGTCAACAGCTGAAAAAGCTGGAAATAATGCAGTTAAAGAGCAAATTGTGGAAGAAAGTTGTAAAGGGTGGAAAGCGGTCAGTGTGTCCTCCAGCAGTCTAAGCCTTTAGCAGCATAACTACAGAGATTACTCTGGATAACCTAGCCTTTTAGATGGAGGCATGTTGGAGGTAGGGCAAGGGAGAGCCGTCTTTACCGACTGTACACTCCACCTCCACAAGGTATCTGCCTCATGGACTAAAGCTGAAAGCTGATTCCACAGGAGAGGAGCCCGATAGCGAAAAGATCTGCCTCCCATCCTATTTTTAGATATTCTGGGAACCACCAGTAAACCTGCAGTCTGAGTGCTCGGTTAGGCACATATGGAACAATCAGGTCACTGATGTATGATGGAGCTTGATTATTAAGAGCTTTATATGTGAGAAGGAGGATCTTAAAATCTACCGTATTTTCACGACCATAAGGCGCACCTAAAAGTCTTAAATTTTCTCCAAAATGTACGCCGCGCCCTATGGTGCAGTGCGCCTATTGTGTTGTTGTGAGACGCAAACGTAGGTAGAAGACAAGGGGCGTGGCGTGAACGTGCGGACGTGAGCGAAGACAGACCTGTGGATCTGCCACGTCGTCATCAACATCCTCGCTATTTGCCTCAGACTCCGGCTGTGAGTCTCCGTCTACTTCCTCTGCTTCCAGTTCAAAAAACAGCCGTACTATCTGAACTGCCTGGTGGACATCCTTCTCATCATCCTTTATTAAAGCCTAATCAAATCCTACTAAACTGCAGCGACAATATATCTGTCCGGGTCGCTCCAAAATATGAAGTTTACCGTCAATATCTGTCTAATTGTTTGTTGTTACTCCGTTCGCGCTACTCCTTTACCCGCGAAGCAGCTCCTTTTTGCGCACGTCTCGTTACTCGTGCGGCCTTCCTCTCTCTCTCAGCTACATAATGATGTTTTTTATCAGCTGAATATGTGAGACTTCCACCAACAGCAAAAGGATCTCATGTTTTTGTGGGGTTTTTTTTACATTCACAAACACATTCCTTCTCACGGATTACTAAACTGCTGTTTTGACAAGTTAGATTGTCTAAAAATAGGTTGTTTTTTAGTTTAGTATAACTCCGCTTTTACGTTGCCTATTAACAAAATTTAAAAACTGGGGTGTAGTTTATAATCTCCTTTCTAAAGGTGAATTGAAACCGAAACTCAGGGAGGCGGAGTCTTGCTGCTACAGCGTCCCAAATCAGACCTGTTCAAAAGACGCGGATACGCGAAATGGACCCCAGAGGGTTAATAAAACACAATTCAAATCACACTATTTTCTTAGGCCTAGTAATAACACACATATGATTTTGTTCATGTGGAAAGTTTATATGGTTAAATCCACCAACTAAACACATTCTGAACTTCAACACAGTGCATCAGCGCTTGAAGCGGTGCTGCGAGCAGCTGCGACCCAAAAAGTACCAGAACCGCTCACTGCGCATGCGCAATCATGCATCAACACTGCTCGCCCGCTATTTCCCTAATAACACACGCTGTTCATTTTGATTTCTACACTTTTTTTTACTCACAAAGCATGCTTGTCATGTTCATGTCAAATTAAACTGATCACAAAACACAGATTTACTTTCTTTATTTCGTTTTCCTCATCCAACCCCCATAAATCCCTGTGTGTCCTCCTGCAGCACTCCCGATGTACGCCCGGCTTTAGTAGGAGGGAGACCCGCGATTATCGCTTTGTTGCGCATGTCTCATTGAAAATGAATGGAGGAGAGGTGAAGTTGCCTCCCATGTGTCGAGAGCCCATTAGAAGAGCACGAGCCGTCAGCGCACGCAATGAGGAAGTGCACGTGCGCTCTAAACCAGGTCTGAACCAGGACTAGACCAGTAAAGTGAAACATGCTTTTGGCTGTTTATAATTTTCACAATGTCTGGTTTGCACTGATATGTTCCGAGTCCCGAGCCTGCACAGATGTTTTACCGGTACGTTTTACCGTGCCCGCACCCTATAACCCCGTGCGCCTTTTATATGTGTTCAATACCAAAAAGACACCCATAACTGAAGCTGCGCCCTATAACATGGTGCGCACTATGGTTGTGAAAATACGGTATGCAGATTTTAACAGACAGCCAATGTAGGGAAGCTAAGACAGGAGAGATATGAGCTCTTTTTTTCATTCTCATCAGAACTCTAGCTGCAGCATTTTGGACAAGCTGAAGACTTTTTACTACATTCTGTGGACTTCCTGAGAGTAATGAATTACAGTAATCCAGTCTTGCTGTAATGAATGCATGAACTAGTTTTTCAGCATCACTCCTGGAAAGGATGCTTCTAATCTTAGCAATATTCCGAAGGTGGAAAAAGGAAATCCTACAAACCAGTTTAAGGTGGGATTTGAATGACATGTCCTGGTCAAAGATAACACCAAGGTTCCTTACTTTGTTCTCGGAGACAAATTTAATGCCATTCAGGTCAGGTGACTGACTAAGCAATTTCCTTTTCTGAATTTCGGGTCCAAAGATAAGAACTTCAGTCTTGTCTTGATTTAAAAGCAGAAATTTTTCAATCGTCCAATTTTTTATGTCTTCAAGACAAGCCTGTAATCTAACCCCAAAATTCCACTACCTCCGCTCCGCTCCGTCCCCGCCCCCGCCTTCCGCAGCCGCTCGCTTCCGAACTCAATTTTTACTGGTACCCGCTCTACAACGGCTCCGCTCCGGTGTGGAGACCTGAGGTGCGCAAACAGGCATGCGCGGGATTTTCGAGATCTTGAGATACAGTCCGAGCAATAAACGCGGAAGTTAGATCCAAACACCCATTGTGTGGGAGAAGCATCGAAATGAACTGTTTAATCTGCCCATCATTTGTGTTGAGAGATCAGCAGTGTTTGGATCAACAAAGTGTGACTACTTTAATAGTAGAAACTGTATTTATGGCTTATTTTTGTGCATTTAAAGTTCAGCCACCATTGATAGTTGTTAAAAGTTGTTAAACCTGTGCATATGAAACAAAAAAAACGCTTTTTGTTTATCGATTTATTGTGAAATAACGGAAGTTGTGCTTGCTCCCTTTCCTGTTGGGCGGTTGTGATTTCTGTCCATTGACTGCGGAGGTGCTCTGGCATCCGGCAAAAATAGAATCGATCCTATTTTTGCTGGATGGCGGAACAGCGGGCGGTGCACTGCGCCGCACGGCCACAGTAGTGGAACAGCTCTGATTGACTACAACTGGACCAATTTTGCTGTGGAGTTCGTGCCGGAGCGGAGCGGAGACAGTGGAATTTTGGGGTAACTAACCTATTAGGTTCATCAGGGTTAATGGATAAATATAACTGAGTATCGTCAGCATAACAGTGGAAGTTTATCCCATGCTGTCTAACGATTTTACCAATTGAAAGCTTATATACAGTAAAAAGAATTGGTCCAAGCACTGAACCCTGTGGTACTCCACAAGTAACCCTGGAGTATTAAGAATATTTGTCATGTACATTTACAAAATGAAATCTATCAGACAGGTAGGATTTAAACCAGCCTAGTGCTGTTCCTTTGATCCCTACAACATGTTCAAGCCTTTCCAAAAGAAAATTGTGATCAACTGTGTCAAAGCAGCACTGAGATCTAACAAGACTAGAACAGACACAAGATTCTTATCTGAGGCTATGAGAATATCATTTGTAACTTTCGTTAATGCAGGTTCAGTGCTGGGATACTCTCTAAAACCAGACTGAAATTCCTCAAACAGATCATTAGTGTTTAAATGCACACATACTTGGATGGCCACTATTTTCTCCAGGACTTTGGATAAAAATTGAAGGTTAGATATTGGTCTATAATTCATTGGATCATCTGGATCCAGACAAGGCTTCTTAAGTAAAGGTTTGATTACAGCAACCTTAAAATCCTGTGGTACGTATCCATTTACTAAAGATAGATTGATTATATCTAGACTGGAGCAGTAACCAAATGAAATGCATCTTTAAATAATTTGGTTGGGATTGGATCTAAAATACAAAGCTAATTTTAGATTAAGCTAATATTTTGATAACTCTAAAAGACTATAGCGAAATTTACTTTCATGTCTCGAGAACTCAGTTATAAAAAACTCAAAGGTTATCAGAAAGTGGTCCGAGAGGACTGGATTGTGTGGAAAGGTCGTTATTTCCTCACACTCTATGCCATAAGTAAGCTCAAGGTCTAATGTATGATGTCAGAAGTGGGTGGAGCTATGTATTCTTTGGGTAAAACAAATTGAGACTAAGATATTACTAAAGGCTACATTGAGGCAATCATTTTCAGTGTCAAGCTTCTGAGGGTCACCGTTTATCATTTGCTTATATTTTACATTTCCTTTAGAAATTCAAACATATTTTCTCCAAAAACTGTTGATTTTTGGACTACAGGACTACAACTGCTAAGACTACGACCGCAAATTTGTTCTGACCAATCAAAATCATAACATGATAACGTCACTTCCGTAAGCTTCATGTTCAACCAATCAACTACTTTGACGTCATCGGCAGTCGAAGGACCCCGAGCCGATCCTGCACCTGAGCAGATCCTGTACCGACACCGGCAGCCCACGCAGCAGACAGGCGCTGTGGCGATCAGAGATGTAACGGGTTCTTAACCTCTAACAGGAAGCCCGTTAAACATCAAGAGTTTTCCATGGCTTGTGATGCCCAAGCGACATCACGTGACATGCAGATCTATTGGCGTAAAGTCAAAGGACATTCACGTGCACCTGGAATTGATAAGGATCTGAACGACCTTGCAGACTCTCTTGCCAAACAAGGTGCTGCTGTTGGTACGCTACAGTCCTTCAACCCCTTGTGGCTCCCTGACGATGTGTCTTATTGGTCAGACCCACCCCGCGTGTGTGTCGTGACTCGAGCTCAGGCTGCTAAAGCGTCCACCCCTCGACCATCTGATGGATTCGACTTTGTTGTGGTCGTGCTGTGGGCTTCCATAGTTATATGAGTGAGTTCATGACAGTTAACGGTGAGTAACTCCACTAACTGTTATGTTTGATCCAAATTCCATTTTCTTTTATTTTTCAATTCCTAGTGATTTTGATCATTTTTGCTATTTTGATAAATTTTATGACTGATTAAAGTTCATTTTATGCTTCAGTTTTATCTACTAGTCACTGATTCCTACTGTGGTACGTTCACATGTAGGTTTGATTACTAACAACACTGATTTACACTAACAACAGTGATTTACATTCCTTGCTTCCGTTCAGCTGATGGGTACCGGCAGTCCAAGCAGAATGTGGTTTGGGTGGTCATGGAGGCAAAAACCCGGGCATGAAAGGAGTTTGGTAAAACCATGGAGCATCACTTCTGTATGGCTTCAAAGAGATTCTGGTCCACCAACCAGAGTCTCATGAGGAGAAAGCAGTGTGTTACCAACACTGCGTACAGTGTTGTGCGTCTGACCTCCACTCGGGATGTTGTGGATCAATGTCCGGTAACTTTGGGTTGAACTCTCCAATCTCTGAGGCCGAGGTCACTGAGGTGGTCAAAAAGCTCCTCGGTGGCATGGTCCCCGGGGTGAATGAGATCTGCACAGAGTTGCTTAAGGCTCTGGATGTTGTAGGGCTGTCTTGGTTGACATACATCTGCAATATCGTGTGGACATCAAGGACAGTTCCACTTGATTTGCAGACCGAGGTGGTGGTTCCCCTGTTTAAAAAGGAGGACCGTAGGGTGTGTTCCAGCTACAGAGAGATCACACTTCTGAGTCTCCCTGGTAAGGTCTAAAGGGTGGCTGGGCTCTCCCTTAGAGATAGGGTGAGAAGCTTGGTCATCTGGGAGGGGTTCAGAGTAGATCCGCTGCTCCTCCACATTGAGAGGAGCCAGTTGAAGTGGCTCGGGCATCTGGTCAGGATGCTTCTTGGACGCCTCCCTGGTAAGGTTTTCCAGGCACGTCCAAGCGGAAGAAGACTTAAAGGAAGACCCTGGACATGCTGGAGGGACTATGTCTCTTGGCTGGCCAGGGAACTCCTTGGGATTCCCCTGGAGGAGCTGGCCCTAGTAGCTGGGGAGAGGGAAGCCTGGGCCTTTCTGCTTAGGTTGCTGCTCCGTGGCCACAAATGGATGGATGGATGGATGGATGGATGGATGGAAAGTGATTTAAAAAACACTGATATTGTCATTTGCAGTGGGGACAAAAGAAGTTTGCTACATTACCAGCATTATTAACACAAGTGTTGGCAGAAGTGACAAAATCATTCACAGTGTGATGTGTAACAGGGTTGGCAGTAGCAGTGGTCAGAGTGTGTTTAGGTTTGTACCTGAGCATCAGATTGTGACACTGTGTGAATCTCAACATGAATGAAGGTTTCATTTGGAGCATCGGGTATCTTCTCATCACTGAGAAACAGAATAATTAGACTTTACACAATTCTATAATCAGAATAAACAAAAAGACAAGGAGAATAGCTGCTGAGATCAATAAAGAGTGAAACTGGAGCAGAAAAGGTTGTAAAAATCAGAATGCTTCACATACCAGACAGGTTCTTTCATCCTCTCAGGACACACGCCACTTTCTGGAAAAGTAACATTGATCAACATAAATACAGCTGTGTGTATGTTTCTATGCTGATGAGTAATCCTTACTGTAGTGAAGAGAAACTAATCATAACTTACTTTGATAAAGTAAACAGCCCTTTAATGTTGGGTGAGTGTATCAGATGTCTTTCTATATGACGCTTTACCCCGTGTACTACGCAGCTCGCGCAGGACCACATTTGTTCAATTTTTGTTTTAAGATCAGATCAAATAAAACTTTACTATCTATACTCATGGAAATTTCCTTGCTGTACCGTTGCCACGGTAATAAAAACATTTAAAAGATGAAAACAGACTTCTTCTTAACATTGTAAGAATTTAATATACATATTATTTAATGAACCATAAGACATGAGATTCCATTGTAAATATGAAACCAGTCTTATGGATCTTTGGGTACTTTTAACTTTGCAGCAGGTGGAACAGCAACAGATTTGATCCAGCTTGTCGTTGGTTCTTTTGGCTGAAGACGAAAGTTACGGATTGGCCACTCCGACAACTTCTCTAGAACGCTTTGAACTGGTGTTAAAGATGACGTGGGCATAGTTTTGTACTTCGGATGTTTTGATTTATGGTCGAATGAAAAGATGACAGATTTACGAAGCACCACCAAAACCACGCCTCCGTCAGATCTGGCAGATTCTGAATGGATCAGTAAAAGCAATGTGTCATGTCTTAACACTACGTGTGATCAGTCTCTAGTGGAAACATTTAAAGTTATGTTACTTATTATATTCTGCAGGATTATAATATCAAGTAATTAATATTTTCATTTCACAGATTGGTCACATTTTATTATTGACTAACACTTTGATTAGCTTATTAAAAATAGAGTTCTTTGATTTATTAAAAAGAAAGAGTCCTTTGTCCTCATTCTTCTCTAGGGCTGGAAAAGAAAACAGTTTAGAAGCAGATGCATGAGACCTTGAACAATATCTCATGCAGATTAGGTCTTGCTGAGGAGAGGGGGGGGAATGACTTTTAGGTGGAAAACAGTCATTTCATTCCGTTACACCATCATGATGGCTTCAGTTCAAACAAACCCTCTGATGATGTGAAGCTGTTGGTAGGCATCCTACAGCAGGAAGCCAGTACTTTATTTCTCAGGTTTTCCATGGTGATGAGTGACAATACTGACGTCAACAGACGACATTTGGTCTAGTTGATTTTGTTTGAGACCCTGTTGGGTTTCTAATGAAAGCCACAGGAATCCTCAGCTTAATCGAAGATTATATTAAAGAGGAACCGTGTCAGGCCAATTATTGCATTGAAGACTTTTACAAAACTCAACTTTAATCAAGACTTCCCATTGAAATCTTTGTTGTCTTAGTAAATGTTTGTGTGCTTCAACACTGGTTTTAATGTCATAGCTCTCTGTTTCAATCACAGTTTCTGTCAAATTTCAGAGTTTGTTCTGTAACAAATGACTTTACAGGAGTTTTAACACAAACAAAAGAGTTTCTTTTACTCCTTTACTTCTTTACAGATTACAGGGTATATTCATGAGCTCGTGGTGCTACTGGTGACCAAATGAGTCTCCTCTGAGAAGGAGCTAGCCAAGGAGGTTCAGGCAAGATTCCTCCAGGAAAGAATATTCCAGGCATATCCCACTGGCAGGACATGCTGGAGGGATTATTTTTCTACACTCTAGGCTGGGTTGACCAATATGTAAAGTTATCAATCTACCTTCTAACTGTAAGTTAGGGTTATCTTTGCCAGAACATCCAGATTTCTTTGCTTTCAGGATCTGCTGAAGGACAGCTTCCACGATTGGCATCACCATGGTAACAGCTGAGGTGTTTTGGACCCACATGGAGAGGAAGGAACAGCCGGACATGAAGCCCAACATAAGCCTGGAAGCAGGAAAAATATGGAAACGTGAACAGAGTGCAAACATAGATGTTCATGTTTGTGTGTGAGTACCGTAAATCCTCTAATATTGGCCTACATTAGCCGGTCTCGCTATTGGCGGGGGTAAATAAAGGCCGTTCTGTCATGACTCTCAGGGTGCCTCCCTCCTCTGCCTTAGCTGCCTCCTCAATCAAGCCCTCAGCCACTTAATTATCATCACCTGTGCCATGTCATCAGCACATGTCACACACTTGCCTCCTCTGCTATATTACACCCAGCCTGCTCTCCAACCCGTGCCAGATTGTTGAATGCCACAGCTAGTAAATTCTCCAGCCTTCCATCCATTCATCGTCTGTCTCGTGTGTCTCGACCTGGTCTCCTGGATTCTCGCCTTGCCTCGCCCCTGCTTTGGACCCCTGCCTCGTTCCCTACCACACTATTGGATATGCCAGATTATCAACATTGAATCTGTCCGCTGACTTTGAGCTCTCGCCTGTCTCCTCGGGTCTCTTGCCATCATCTCTGGTTCTGACCCACACTCACACCTGACCACGTCTCAGCCTTCTCCCTGGTTCTGACCACACTGGCGCCTCACTACAACCCAGCTATCTCTCTCTGCAGTGTTGGTGACAAACTGCTGAATTGTTTTAATGAACATTTTAAACGTCTTGCTGTGTTCAGTGTCCTCACGGGTCTTACATCCAAGCTCAGGTCATTAGAGAATAATCTGGCCACATCATCGACCCGACACGGACACAGGACTGGCGTTCAGGAGTCAAAACCACCATTTACGGACTCGAAACAAAGGTAAACAAAATCCTGGGTCTGCTACTTACCACGGATGGAACTAGCCGCTTATTAAACACTCCCACCACTTCCTGTCCTCCGGTTCAGTTCTGGGTCTCTGTGGTTCCCGAACCCCGACTAGTTCCGCTGGAAGTCTTCAAGGGTGAGCCAAAACTGTGTCGTCCTTTTCTCACTCAGTGTGAAATACACTTTGAATTACAACCATCCTCATTTCCTACTGAATGGTCCAGAGTGGCATATGTGATATCATTGTTATCAGGACAGAAAAACCAGAAAAGTCACTGAATATATCGTTGATTTTCATGCCATAGCTGCTGACGGTGACTGGAATGAACCTGCATTAATGGACATGTTTTACCAAGGTCTGTCTGACAGAATTAAAGACGAACTCGCCACTCTGGAGTTCCCTGGAACCCTGGAGGGACTGGAGGATCTCGCCACAGACATTGACCTCAGGCTCGTGGAAAGGAGAGGAACAACTAGAGGATCCACTCGTGCTTCTGACCCTGGTCCTTCTCTATATGGGCGGGCTGTTTCAGGAACCAGAACATTTGTGAGTAACCCCTTCTCATCCAAACCTGATGAGGAAGAACCAATGCAGCTTGAAAAAAATAAAACTAACTGATCAGGAGAGAGAGATAAGAAGATTGCAGCATTTGTGCTTTTATTATGGAAACCAAGGCCACAGTGTCCACACTTGTCTGTCAAAAAGACAAGGCCCAGTAGAAGTTAGGAGGTCTCTACTGGGCCATATCATCCCTAGAACTCCTTTATGTCCTTTCACCAATGCTGTGTTCTCTCACTCAAACCAGGAACATCAATGTCCTGTCTTCATTAATTCAGGGGCAGACACAGAATTTATGGACATTGATTTTTGCCAAGTCTATTGGGTTGAGTTTCCACCCCATATCCAAAACACATGAATACATCATGTCACCCATGAAACAGAACCAGTGAGCATGAGACTAGGAGGCAACCATATTGAAAACCTTCACTTCCTGCTCATCAATTCCCCCGATATCCGGATCATTTTGGGGATTTCCTAGCTCTGAACCCAAAACCCACACCTCGACTGGTGTAAAGGGGGGATTTTAAGTTGGTTTGACCAATGTCTGTCTAAATGTTTGTCTAATGCATCATCATGTACTCTATCTACACAAGACTTCCAAGAAACCTATCTTGACATCTCCAAAGTTCCCCCAGATTATCACGACCTGAAGATGGCTTTCAGTAAACACCGAGCCACCATGCTGCCTCCCCATTGCCCATATTACTGTGCCATTGATCTCCTCCCAGGTACCACTCCCCCATATGTTTTCCCTCTCTGTCACTGAACACACGGCCATGCAGAAATATATCAAAGAGTCCCTTCAAGCAGGCATCATTCGACCCTCATCTCCAGCTGGAGCAGGTTTTTTCTTTGTTGGGAAAAAGGATGGGTCTCTGCCACCCTGCATTGATTATAGAGAACTCAAAAACACTACTGTAAAGTATTGCTACCCACTTCCCCTTATAAACACTGCTCTTGACTCCATCCAGGGGTTGCAAGTGTTTATCAAACTCGATCTCCGCAATGCCTACCATCTGGTCTGTATAAGCAAAGGAGACGAGTGAAAGACCATATTTAACACTCCCACAGGTCACTACGAATATCTAGTTATGCCCTTTGGACTTTCCAAAGCCCCTGCTGTTTTTCAGGCTCTGGTGAACAACGTATTAAGAGACACGGTGGGGAAACATGTTTTTGTCTACCTGGGTGACGTTCTTATTTTTTCCCCAGACTTGGAATCGCACAAAAAACACGTCAGAGTTGCATCCTCAGGCTACTACAGAACAACCTGTTTATCAAAGCAGAGAAATGTGAATTTCATCGTTCGTCTATTTCCTTTTCATGGGTTTATCATTTCTCCCAACCAGATCCCCATGGACCCGGCTGAAGTGTCTGCAGTCCTAGACTGGCCCACACCCACTGACCGTAAATAGCTACAACGATTCTTGGAGTTCGCCAACTTCTATCGACGCTTCATTAAAGGCTACAGCAAGATAGCAGCCCCTCTCCATGCCCTCACATCCTGTAAGGCTGGTTTCCAGTGGAATGATCAAGCTAATGTCTTGTTTCTGAAACTCAAGGAACTGTTCACGTTAGCCCCAGTTCTCCGTTCCCCAGACGTCACACAACAGTTCATTGTGGAAGTGGATGCCTCAGCCGTTGGAGTGGGCGCTGTCCTCATTCAGAGGGGTCCAGACAATAAGGTCCATCCCTGTGCCTTTGCTCCAAAGATGCTCTCCCCTGCTGAACGTAATTATGATGTCGGGGACAGGGAACTCCTGGCAGTCAAACTGGCTCTGGAGGAATTGAGACACTGGTTGGAGGAGACAGTCACCCTTTTTTTGGTGTGGACAGACCATGAAAAGTTGGAGTACATCAAATCAGCCAAGAGACTCATTCCCCAACAAACAAGGTGGGCTCTGTTTTTCAGCAGATTTAATTTTACCCTGTCTTACAGACCTGGATAAAAGAATGTCAAACCAGACGCCCTGTCTAGAAACACGGAGCCACAGACACCAGAACCGTCCTCACTCCCTGACGCCCACATGCTACCTCAGAGCGTTCTTCTAGGAGTATCAAGACTGGAACTGGAAGGGAAACTCAAGGAGGCTTGTCAGACGGAATAGTGGATCATAATCTCCGGCTGCAAGATGAGCAGAAACAGAACAGAAAATGCTGAAGTTCCCAGTGATGACTTCATCACAGGTAAGGGTTTACCAAAGTTTTTTTATGGTGTTTTATTGAACAGCTTAGAAATGCAGCTACAAAATCTGCAGATAAACAGTTTGATACTGTTCTCACGTGTCCTCACCGCAAATAGCTTGTAGAGTGCGAATGTTTTAAGCAGTTAGCTCAGTGTTGTAACGTGGAACTGTGGAGGATCAGGATTAAACAGTTGGAGAATTATATTTTTACTTCAAACCAAACAAGACACGAACGGTAAAACTTTGGAGCGGTAAGGTGTCTGTTGCCTTTTGTTGTGAATCAATGATCTAATTATCACCAAGTTTTTACAATGCATTACCAGCATGTTTGCTACGTTTGTTACCATACTGGGATTTAGCCTGAAACAACGGTGTTTGTTGTAAATGTTCTATACGCATTCGTACGTATAATGTTAACTGTACATTTTCAACAAACGAACCTGGTTTTATAGGTTCAAATAGACACAAAATCTTATTTTTGCCCAAATTGCAATTGAGGTCTATCTCTTATTCTGGCATCCTTCCAATAAAGGCCTGAACCAGGATGCTCTTGAGTAAATAATAGCCCATATTCGAGGATTTACGGTAAGTCAGGCCCACTCTCTCCTCATGAAGAAGATGAGAGGTTCTCACCAGGCCGGGTTCACTCCCACTATTGTGACAAGCCTCAGGGCGATCCTGCGATGGAGACCCCACTTCTCGATAGATGTACCAAGACAGATAACCCCCACTAACAGGAAGTGAAAGTTGTTGAAATATGCCCTTGCCACCTGAAAGATGAGTTTTAGAAAAATAAACAAAGTTGTTAGTTTGGTTTTTAGCACAGAAATAAAACAAAACATGCCTGACTTACATTTGAGGACTTCATAATTCCAAGGATGGGGAAGAGAATGGCGGGGAGCATGGCCGTCATCGACAGTGGGATGACCTCTGTAACCCAGTACACGGCCATCAGAAGCATCACAAAAGCACATCCTGCCTCCTAAATGACAAAAAGAGTTCATGGAAAAGAAACCCGTTTCAGCACAAACCAAACTGAATGAAACGTGTGAAGTAACTTGGTCTCTGATGGACCCACGAGGTTACAGGGAGGATTTTTAATCTCTGAGTTGTCCTTACCATTTATTCTTCTTTCACATTTCCTTCTGTCTAAACAAGATGATCTGTTTCATTATAGCCTGTTCTTTTTATTGTGTTCAAAAGCCTGCTCAAGCTGTAATCTGTTGTATTATTTCTGTCTCTATTTGAGGGAAATGAAGGTTTTGGTTTTAAAGAGCTTCTTTGAGCTTCTTTTTTTTGCATCCTCTTTCCAGGTCTATTCTGTGCAATTTCTCCCTGACTGCAGTAAAATGCATGATTACCACTGTCCTGTGGGTCTTTGTTTCACTGCCCTGTGGTTCCAGGTGTTTCTCTGCTCTTGGTACAAAATAGCTGAGACTGATAGACGTTATCTCAAAGCACTTTTCTGTGAGAATTAAAAACATTCTATTTGAATGCTCAGCTTTTTCCATGTAAAAGGTTCATTTTATATTTAAGACTAAAATGGACACATTTAAACCTTTTGCCCTGATATTTTAATGCTGAATTCAGACGCCATGCAGAAGCTCTAAACCTCAGCACTTCACAGAAGGTTGGACTCTGTATTAGAAATGATTAATGGAGCAGTAGGAAGATCCGATTAATTATAAATACCGTAAATCCTCTAATACAGGCCCGGGCCTGTATTTGACTCAAGCTCATCAAGCTCCAGGCCTTTATTGGAAGGAGGGCCAGTATTAGAGGCAGGCCTCTATTTCTATTTGAGCAAAATGAACTAATGGTTTGCTGGAGTTTTTGACAATTAAAATTGTGCCCACATTTTCAAAGTTAAACACATTTCTTTTAACAACGGTAGTTTCTGCTTCAACCCTCTCCCCCCTTCCCCTGCGCAGCAGCCGCAAACTCACTGATGTGCCTGCAGCCTCTCGGAGTTCCTGCTGCTCTAAACATTAAAATAATTATTTCATTTTCTGTTCCTCACTTCTGATGACCTTCAGTGGTGTCTGTTTGTTGCAACAGCAGGTACAAAAACTAACTTGTTTTTATTTGACTATTTTTCTGTCCTGTCTGTTTATTATCTTCCTGCATCTCCTCTCAATCCTAAAGAAAAACTGCTGCCTGGGTTCATATATATTCACCTCATGAGTTACCTTTGAACTGCAGTTCTAAAATATCTACCGACCGCAAAAACAGCGGAGCGCTTGCTGTTTGGCGGCCGTATCAGTGATCAGTGCGTTGGAGGACAAGTTGATGCGCGCACCGCCCCGCTCCACAGCATGCAGCGAAATGCATCAGGCGCAAATAAAAGACAGAAAACATTAAAGGAATTGAACCGACATGAACGATCGCGTGTCAGTACCTACGGTCTGGCACAGCGCATTGCTGATCACAGAGAATGTGATCATACGATAATTCAATAGGGAGCGTGGTTTCACAGACGCGGAAGTGAGAGCGTCGGTGAAACGCCGGCTGCTCTAGGAAACCCCCGAGCGTTCGAGCGTCAACGAAGTGACACAGAAATGCCGGGCTTTCCAGAAGTAAGTAAGATAACTTACTATGAGCTGATAGTTCGTTGGATTGATCGGTAGGTTGGAAACTCTGATCATGAATCTGAAGAAACGATGACTGAGCTGTAAAGGCGACTTCCGTTTATAGCCGCGGTTTGTGACGTAGTTGCGACGTGGAGGGAATCCCCGCGAGGGGCATGCTGGGAGTCCCTACTTCGCGGATTTTCACCTATCGCGGCCAGGTCTGGAACGCATCTACCGCGATAAACGAGGGATTACTGTAGTTCATACACCCCCTACTGCTGCTCCCCATAGTGTTCTGCAGCATAATCAGCACGTTCTCTTTGAACTTGATAGTGTAATGACCTAGCTGGGGTTGTAAGCCAGGTGCATTCTGGGTATTGTGTTATATGTGTTTCCTATCGTTCTGCTAGTTCCTATGTGCTGATTTGCGTGTTGTGTGAGTGTTATGTAAGCCACAGGGAAGGTGATGTGTGTTCTGTGGAGCGGGTTGAATTAGCATGGTTAACTGACACCGTGACTCTGTGTGGTAGGAGCGTGATAGAGGATCGTGTCTGAAGCGTTATAAAGCTTGAAGAAAAAGCCTAATAAATGTCTGCGTGAACCCCTACTGCCCCCTGCTGGTTGATTTAGGGACTATAACCCTGCCGCTGGGACGCTTGTACTTGCTTGTTACCACATTCCATCCGGCCACAATAAGAGACCGGCCATTATTTACCTCCGCTGACTCTGACACCGGCCAAAATTGGAGACCCAGGCCTTTAATTGAATACCGGCCTGTATTAGAGGATTTACGGTATATCATGTTAGAAACCGCATTCCTGTCTGAGGGAGTGTTTAATTCAGCATGAATGATTGCTACATCTGCTTTTCCCACTGAGCTTGGTTTACTTTTATAAAAACACTTTTAAACAGATGCTATAAACTCACCTGCGTGTTAATGACCAGAGGAATGGGGAGCAGCAGCAGTGGTGTGACGATGATCAACACAAAGCTGTGATAATTCCACAGTTGTCTCCACAAAGTTCTCAGCATTGTCTTCCACTTCCTGTCGTCTCCGTGTTCCTGAGTTTGGACTTTTCTCATCCAGCTGTGGGAGTCAGAAAGGGCGCTGATTGACCCCGGTTCTGAGCAGGCTGCAATGCAGAGTCATGGACTCAGGTTATTGATTCATATTTGACCCTCAGATGTCAGCGATTGCAGCTTATCTGTGTACCAACACAAAGGCAAGATAACATCATGAGGCGGCATTTCATTTATAGCACACGAAAGGTGGCGGAGTTCTCCTGCAGAGGTCTGATGTAACAATCAAGTTACGGATCCGTCTTTCAGTGAAGTCATCGGAATAGCTGACGTGTCTGAGTAATAATCGGGATATAAAGTTGTCATTTACCTATAAAATAGATACACTTTTAATTGAAAAAGTATCTCAATAAGAAATCTTTTAAAAGCAAACGAAAATTTTCTCTGAGAAAAACAATTATAAAAAAAATTATTGGGGTTATGTTTAACTTGAAAAATGAGCTGCTAAAAGTAAAGTACTATATTAAATAATCACACGACAGAGTTACAAATGCATCGTCCATTCATCCATCTTTCTCCACTTATCTGGGTTCGGGTCGCGGGGGCAGCAGCCTTAGCAGAAAGGCCCAGACTTCCTTCTCCATAGCTACTTGGGCCAGCTCCTCCGGGGGAATCCCAAGATGATCCAGCTGAGAGACATAGTCCCTCCACCGTGTCCTGGGTCTACCTTTAGGCTTCCTCCCAGTTGGACGTGCCCAGAAAACCTCACCAGGGAGGCGTCTAGGAGGCATCCTGACCAGATCCTCGAGCCACCTCAACGGGCTCCTCTCAATGTGGAGGAGCAGCGGGTCTACTCCGAGCCCCTCCCAGATGACTGAGCTTCTCACCCTATCTCTGAGGGAGAGCCCAGACACCCTGCGGAGAAAACTCATTTTGGCCGCTTGTATCAACGATCTCATTCTTTCTGTCACTACCCAAAGGTTGCGACCATAGGTGCTGATGGGAACGTAGATCGACTGGTAAATCGAGAGCTTCGCCCTGCGCCTCAGCTCGCTCATCACCACGACAGACCAGTACAACGTCTGCAGACCAGCACCAATTCACATTGTCCTCGTCAGTCAACACAACCCTACAACATCCAGAGCCTTAAGGAACTCTGTGCAGATCTCCTTCACCCCGGGACCTTGCTACCAAGGAGCTTTTCGACCACCTCAGTGACCTCGACACTAGAGATTGAGCCCGACCCAATGTTCCCACCCTCCACTTCCTCACTGGAAGACGTGCCGTTGGGATTAGGGAGGTCTTCGAAGTATTCCACTTACCGATTCACAACGTTCCAAGTCGAGGTGCACTACTTTCCCTGTCTGAGACACCACCATCTTACTTTAATGATGTATCATTAATCAATGTGCAGGAGGAACTGAGATGGGACCGTTGATAAACATTTTTACCATTAACTGGACTCTGAGAAATTAGAGACGGGATCTTTTTTCTCCTGCTGTTATTTAAGTAGGCTACTGACATTTGATTGCACTTTTGATGCTAACGAATATTACCTTTACATATTTTATGTCAACTTTTACATTAATAATTTGCCTTCTACTGTCGGATGTAGCATTGGTATTTAAATTTGATCTTAAATGCTTTTATTTGAACATTAAAATTTTCACAACGTTGTAATTTTTCAAATTGGGATGAAAAGCTGACTAAACAATTCACACCACATTATCATTGTTACGAGAGTCTAAATGTGACAGAATGCAGCTTTAAACTTTGTCAGTGGATAGCCTAAGGCATGTCCTCAGCTGCATCCTTTCTGCGTGGAGTTAGCACGTTCTCCCCATTCAAGCTGTTATAGTGCATCTACAAGCTAGGTTTTGAACGCAAACACGGTCATGGAACACTCTCCCCTCCCTCGGGTATCTTCCCTGAAACACTTCTGCTGGAACCAGAAACCCACATCGCCTAAGGAAACGAGACGGTGCTAAACACCAGTCACTGTTTATTACATCCAAACGTCTTTTGTTGTCTGTGACTTCAAATAGTGTTTTTCTCTTTGGGACTTTGTAGTTTGTCCTAAAGTTGAAATGGTAGCAGCCGGCTGTTTCTCCTTCTCTGATGTTATTGAGAGGAGAACCTCTCACATGGTGTTCTGGTGCTGAATATGTGAGTGTGTGATGTGTGGAGGACCCAGGGCAGCGTGACGGTTCAGAGAGACCGCCAGCTGCATGGTCCGATAGTTGCCTTTTGTCTGAACCGTGTTATTAGTGGAGGATTTTAGACAAATGTGAGGGAACTACTTTATTATTTTCTAATCTCCACTAAATATTCATAGCTATAGTATGTTAGAACATTGTAAATAGGCATGAACATTTGTAAGCTAATTTGTTGTCTGAATTTGCTACTGCAAGTGTGCTCTATAGACACACCCGCTGCTTGCTGAAGTCTTGAATTAATTAATCCTGAAAAGGTTTGAAGCCTAACTTCCCCTAACAGAGTTCAGAGGGTTCAGGTTACACTGACTGTTTTTTTTTACTGTTTCATTATTCATGACTTGTGTTCAGCTGAATACAGAACCGTGTGTTCCTAAATATGAGGATAATCTTTAACACGAATCGTCAACGCTAACGCAGATCTACATTTTAATAGTGTGGTTGACAAATAAAACACAGCTGGTTCATGTTTAAAAGACATGATTGTATAATTTTAATGGGAAGACAAGAAAACATTTAGTTATTGTAAGAAAATGGCCCAAGTACAAGAGATTTTCTGTGAGAACAAACCCACTGGGGGACAGAATCGTAGATGTCTTGTGGTGTTATGGAAGACTTTCTCTCTCTGACTCTCTGGACACGTACACGACTGCCTTAATTGTTTTTCATTAAACGTGTCCGGTAGTTTAGGCCTTATGACATTTTAATAGAATAAAATAACAAAGGCTATTATTACTTTTGTACTGTTACAAATGGCCCCGTTGCCGTTATTATAAATCAATCATATCCTTAAGCGTGCATACTTTACCAGCTGATTTGAGTCTTTCTGGTTAATCATTAACACGCCGTTTGAGACACAAGGCTTTTGCTCTACATTCAAAGGAGCTGCCATAAAAGCTCGTTAAAAGAAATCTAAACCATTTTTACACACTAAGTACTGACTGATATCCACTCCCACGTTGTTGAGAAAACCCTCTACATGTGTTGATTTAGGCAGCTACACTCGTGTAAAAGATTCAATAACAAAATGTTAAAAAAAAACGTTTTGAAACTCTAAAAACTGCCTTTTTTCAGTGTGAGGAGAGCTGACTGAGTCCTGGACCCATGAGCGCTGTAAAGGGGTGAAAGGTTAGGATGGGCCCAGAAGAGCAGACCCCTTTTTTACTTTTCTTATTTCTTTTCTCTTTTTTAATACAGACGTTAAATGTGCTAGGGACCCTCATGCGCTCAATGTGTACTTTGTCTATTTTGACCATAGATTTCATATTTAACATCTTTACTATTTCAGTCACAACCCTCCCCTTTACAATGGTTCATTCCACCTGTCTGTCTGAGCTGCTTGCTAGCAGAACCTTGGGCGTCGGTCTCGTGGGAGAATGAAGAGGTTAAATACCCACACTTTTTCTGCCGTGTAGCTTAGAAACGTGTGTTTCTCTCGCTGTGTTACCTTCTCCTCCTCTCTCTCCTGTTGCTAATTGAATCTTGGACCTTTACGCACCGGTGTTGCGTCAGTATTCCGGTCAGTTCCGTTGTTGAAACGCATTTCTCCATTGCTCCGCACTGCCCAGGCAGCAAAAATGCACTCGCTCATCACAAGCTCGCTCCTGCTGTGCGATCTGCTCACGCACAACAGACCAGCAGCCTCCGTGAGTTCAAACATCTGGTTTGTACACATCAACATGTCATTCTGGAGCAAAAACAGCTGTTACAGCGGTGTGTGTGTGTGTGTGTCTGCTCTGTCTTCTCCATCCCCAGTGAGTCGTGGAGGATGGCTGCTTATAGTGAGCCAGGATCCTCTGGAGGTTTCTTCCTGTTAAAAGGGAGTTTTCCTCTCCACTGTCGCTAAATGCTTGCTTAGTATGAGGATTGCTGTAAAGTCACTGACACTAGTCAGTGACTCGATGCAATTTGCTGGGTTCCTTATATGTTTATGTTTATGTGCTTAGCAGACGCCTTTACCCAAAGCGACTTACAATTATTATTTTTTTTACCTATAGGTCATGTTGTGATCTGTGGGGGAAACCGGAGTACCCGGAGAAAACCCACGCATGCATGGGGAGAACACGCAACTCCACGCAGAAAGGCCGCAGCCGAGTTTCGATCCTGCGACCTTCGTGTTGCGAGGCAACAGTGCTAACCACTGTGCCACCATGCAGCCCATATAGGAATACATTATTTCTGATTGGCTTAATGAACTGACCTGTATTGGAATGTTAATTATGTGAAGTGCCTTGAGACGTCTCTTGTCATGATTTGGCGCTATATAAATAAACTTGAATTGAATTTAATTGTTAGAGTTATGTGTATCATCCCTGGTTATGGGTCAACTCAGAGGTCCTTGATGCGATTAGTCTTTCTTTCTTTCTTTCTTTCTTTCTTTCTTTCTTTTTCTTGATCGAGAACAAATGATTAAAATTTTACAAAAAGCTAAAAAGACTCACCAGATTAATCTGAAGTTGGTTCCCTTATGATTTTCAGCGTCAGAAAGGGTAATTCTAACAAGTATTTCCACTCCCCGAGCATCTTCACTCTGCTCTAAGTATAAATTTACAAGACTTAGACCTTTTGAACCTACACTAAGTTATTTTGCATCAGGTGTTGGTCAGAGAGACTGGTGGTGCCGGTTCTGTGCTCGACAGCTTTGCCTCTGTCAGTATGCCCCAAGGCAGCTGTGGCTACACTGTAGCTCATCATCATATCACTGTGTGTGTATGGGTGAATGACTGTGTTGTAAAACACCTTGGGGGATTCTAGAAGGCATCATTTAAAAACTTTCTTTGATTTATGAAAGCTGAAAGGAAGCGGATTCCAGCACTTTTCTAGACCATATTAGAACTGGCTCAGCTCTAAAACTACAACACCTAGACTCTTCAGAGCTGGACTAGGCTAGATTACTTTAAACTAATAGCCTTTAAAACATGGTTTGTGTTTGATTTGTTACAGTTAAAAAAATAAAATTTCTCAGTTTTTAAATATCTGGTCTGACGTAGATCTGGTCGAGCTCAAAACTGCATCACCTAGACTCTTCAGACCTGGACTAGATTATTCTACATCTACAGCAAAATCAACTGTAATTTGTGAATTAGTGCAAATTCTAAGAGGACAACTTTCTTTAAATTTTCTTCAAGAGTTCTGATTGATCACCCATGAAATAAAACCTTTTATAATCAGAACAAATTAAAGATAAAGGGAGTGGAAACATTAGTTGGGATTGATCTTTCTGAATTGGAAACCAAAAAAGGGAACCAACTTCATACAAAAGATTCAACAAACAATAAACACATAATAAACAAAAGATTTAGCCAAACAAATAAGAAAAAAAAAATCCTAATTACTTAAAGTAGTTCAAGTAATTTTAGAATGATGCACACTGGTAATATATATAATGTGTGTGTGTGTGTGTGTGTGTGTGTGTGTGTGTGTGTGTGTTTGTGTGTGTGTGTATATTAGGGGCTGCACAACTTAATTTTTTTTAAAGTCAACTGTCAAGTAATGAAAATCGAGTTGACCTTGACTAGTCGTTGATGACGTCATACACCTGAAGCGGCAGATTGATTGATTGATCAGTTTGACCCAGCTAAAGCTTGTTCATGTAAAGTATATGTCAATATGTGTACATTATGTTCTGTTGTGCATGCCATTGAGATAATAAATGTGTACATGTAAAACAACTGCATATTCCCAAAGTTTTTTTTAGGCTTTGTACTCGTCTTTAGACATTTTTACTAAATGGTAAATGGTAAATGGCCTGTATTTGATATAGCACCTTCTAGAGTCCTGGAACTCCCCAAGGCGCTTTACAACACAATCAGTCATTCACCCATTCACACACTGGTGGGGATGAGCTATGATGTAGCCACAGCTGCCCTGGGGCGCACTGACAGAGGCGAGGCTGCCGAGCACTGGCGCCACCGGTCCTTCCGACCACCACCAGCAGGAAATGTGGGTTAAGTGTCTTGCCCAAGGACACAACGACAGACTGAGCGGGACTCAAACCTGCAACCTTCCGATTACGGGGCGAGCACTTAACTCCTGTGCCACCGTCGCCCCTATGCAATATGCTTGGTATCTTTGTTAAATTTTATCTGTAAAAATATAGGAGGCCCAGAAATTTTTGTTTCCATAGGACCCAGAATTTCTGGCAGCACCCCTGCCTGGACCTGACTGCTGGTTTTGGTAAGTAACAGAACTATACCTAGTATGGAGTCGCACTGGACTGAGACTGTTGGATTTGGGCCAGAGGTGCAACATCTGCAAGAATCACACAGAATGTTTAAATGCATTCATCTTGCTAATTTTGTAAAAAGCCAATGATATCAGGTAGATTTGTGATTCCAAACAGATTTTCTTCTTGTCCCAATTTAGTCCCAGCATGTCTTAACCATGTTTCCATTTGATTGTGATTGGGAGCCAAAACCTCTGAAAATCTTTGCACATTTCTTGAATTCAGTCATCCGTGATATAAACTGCTTCATCCTGACTAGGTTTGTGTATGTCCACTGGGTTATTGGGCGAGAGACATGGGACATGTCTTCAGTCCCTCACAAGAAAGTACAGAGACAGTTAATTATAAAAACACTCACATCCAGGGGAAATAAAGACTCTCCAGTTAAAGTAGCTTTCTGGAGTTTTTCCCTTTAAGAAATTATTCTTTATAAATCCGTAAAAGGGATCGTCTCATCGTGTACTGTGATACGAGTAAGCACGCCCCCCTGCCCCGCAGAGCTTGTGCAATAGGAAACTGAGCACCGACCATATCTAACCAATAGCGTTAGACTACCGCTTACATGCTTCAAATTTCATGCATGCGGTCTACATGCTAACTCCACACATGCATTGGTAGAACATGCTACCTCCACAGAAAAAGGCCACAGTTGAGATTTGAACCTGCAACCTTCTCACTGTGAGGCATCAGTACCAACTGCACTGCCATGCAGCCTTACTGTAGTTTATGGAAAGTAAATGAAGTTAATCACATGTTTAACTGCTTGGCATAATTCTGGGCTTTTTTAGACGCTACATTAAAAGTAAATTAAGCAACAGTTTGAAAATGTTTGTTGCTTAGAATTCTGACAGATTTTAGGCGTTAAGTGGTTTGAAGATTTTGTAAACGAGATAGACCCCTCACATGTGTTGATACGAACAATCCCAGCTTTAACAGTTTTGGCCCTACAGTGTGCGGTGTGCACCAGCACGGCAAAGACAACACACCACACATGGGAAAACAAGCCATGACAATCCAGTATGTTGAAAATTCCTGATTTATGATCCAAGCAGTCCCAACATCCTTCTGAGCAGACCGGAGCACTCCCAACATGCCGCTCTTGGCAAAAACAGATAAGATCATTTTAAAAGCCTTTGTGTGAATCGGACATTAATGACATAAAGTTGTTTTCATGACCTGAGATGGACTGGCAACCTGTCCAGGGGGTACCCCGCCTGTTTGCCTGGTGACCGCTGGATAGTCACCAGCCCCCCTGCTACCCTACATGGACAAGCGGGTTCAGACAATGGATGGATGCTTTCGTGACCAAATAAGAAATGTTTCAATCTGAAGTTGTTCTAGGAGTAGAACACATACTGGGATCTATTATTCCAGGCAGCTTTAGAGGAGTCCACACATCCTCTGTGTTTCTGTGACAAAAGGTCTAATCAGAAACCTGCTGAAAGGTCAACCCAACCTGGTAACAAGAGCTCATCACAGCTATTCCTGTCTGAGGACCTGAATGGAATATGAGATCAATGTAAACGTCATCTGATTAGTTCTGACAAGTATTTTTTGTACAGGTGTCACCTGAAGGTCTAGTCTGGAGTTTTTATGTGAGATCTCCCAGCTTTGAAAAGAAAAGCCTGAACATCAAGCTAGTTGGTGCTGGAGCTTCCTCAACCAGCCCGTTTCTACACCCACTATGTTCTGCTAGAAGAGCAGCAGAGCTGGCGTTAGCTAACCCTAACCCAGCTGGGTGGAGGTAATGTACACTGGCCAGCACTCTCACACTTACAGCTATGGCACATCTAGACACAGATCACCACTGAGTGTAACTTAATGTCTGAATGAACACAAACCGGGTTCTCAAGAGGACTACTCACACAAAGGCAAAATGCAGTAGTCCAGTGGTTCATATTGGGGTAGTGAAACATTTCACTATTAAAACGCAGTCTTTGTTTCCAAAATGTAAAGTAAACTGTTTTCCTTTAAAGCACAGGTCAGGGAGGATCACCCCGTTAGACGTACCGATGGAGATGATCAGTAGAAGGAATATCAGCCAAGAGCGAGGAGCGATGTTTCCTACCTTGCTGCCGTTTTGACGTTCTGGGCTCTGTGTGGCTGTGAAAGCATGGCTGTTTAAAAAGCCCCGGGCTGGGGCTTAACATTTAAACATAGACAGACACGCGTCTACAAAAACAACTCGGTGTGATTCATCTTCACAGAAACAGGAGAATGTATTCATTCTTAGATTTCTGGTATCCTTTAACTTTTTATCTGGAAGCCACGGACAGATGGTTAAACAGTTGCTAAGTCTATTCAGGACCTTTGACTTGCAGTTAATACTTATGATCAGTGAAAATTTAGAAGAAACAAAAGAAAACTCAATGAGCAAAGCTCAAACATAACAAAGCACTGACTGAACCGCCCAATAGCTGGGTTAGCCGATTATTAACGGGTCATTAAACACAAAGAGAGTCCTAGAAAGGCTGAGCCTCTGACGCGTTTAAGGTTGGGTTCACCACATCCCTTGTTCTAGAGGTACAACGGTGGGACATTTAGAGATGTACTCATGAATGCTAAAGCATTCCTAGAGCTGTATGTGACCAGGGCTAGTCTGAATGGACGTGACTTTCGGACCACGGAGGATTCCTGCACTGAAACGATGTGTTTGTTGACCCCTCCCCATCTGAAGCTACTGAGCAGCTTTAATGTAAGACCTGGGTCAGATACCTGCAGCTCTAAAGCCACATGTGGCGTCATCCTCAGCTCTGTGCAGGGGCTCCGCGCAACTTTTATTTTTCAATCTGGGTCAATATTTATATTTGGACAAACGGGAAACGGTGGGTTTAGCAGCTTTCCAGTCCGAGGTTTTACAGTTAATTATCCTAATACTCCATTTTTGTTGAAGTTGTACAGTATCAGTTATTATAAATGCTCTGAGCACGTCTCTGCACCAACATTATCAAAACATGTGGCGGAGGTCAGTTTGACTAAAACTGAAGGAAAATACATCAGATGGATGGATCCAATCATCAAATATAGGCCATTCACACTGATTGGACGAGGTTTTTCCAGGTCTGGATGTTGAGTTTGAGAGTTTTATTAGTAGCCACATTTCTTCCAGATAGCTCGGCTCACTGGGCTAACTCCCGTTCCAACAGTGGTGATAACCCTGCCCTCTTCCAAGACTGTCTTGCTCCAGTAGCATGACGATCACCTGCTTGTTCTGGTTCTTTAACACAAACAAAACGTTGATTTAGAATCAGAATCAGGAACAAAGCCGTCATAAATTTGTTTTATTTCAATTTAAATCTTCCACAGTGCTACAGGCTAAAGCAGCGCTGGCAGAGGCTGCAACAATCACTAACAGACAGCAACCATTTTAATGTGAGGAGGCTGATGTGTTGTCAGGGGCATGCTTGCCAGTCGCCATAGTGATGTGATGGGAGTCGAACTGGTTTCCCACGGCAGCAGCTGGCTGAGATTCCAGATATTTAGCCAGAGTGGGAATCTGGCTGAAGTATTCTCGAGCAATTTTGTGTTTCTGTCCAACCCAGCGTGTGAACGTTGTGGAATAAACCTGGACACACGGACAGGAAAAGGCTGGGTTTAGGATGTAGAGGAATCTTTAAACCTTGAACACAAAATAAGTTACCGAGAGGAGGCTGTGCTCCATCTCACATCTCTCAGCTTTGGGGACAGGCTGAGAACTGCTGACCTTGGTGTCAGAGTCAAATAGAAAGTTGTGAGGCACAAATATTTACATGGACAAACCTTGTTGACATCCTTGATCTTTAGGTGAGTTGAAGTCTCTTCATTGGACAGAAGTATGCAGTTCCAGGGACTCCAGTCCTCCTGATGCTCCCAGCGAACAAACACCAGCTTGTAGAGGTCCTTGCTGCCGCTGAGAGCAGAGCAAGACTCCCAAACCTTTTCTGTAAGGTAGAGGATGTCTTCCACCTGAACAAAAGAGCAAGCCGGAGTCAGCTATGTGCAATACGTGGCTAACCTCAAATGGTGCAAGAGTGAGATAAATCTGACACAGGTTTAAGAATCCAGATGGAAGAGTGACATCTTTTTGAAGGCTCAGCAAACAGAAAAGGAAGAGTTTACCTGCAGCAGAGTGAGAATTGATGGTTCTTTGCTGAGAGTTTGCTCCTGGGTTCTCAGCTTCTGTAGTATATTTCTGTATAAAGAGAGGTCTTCACGAGGTCTTGCTATGTTGTCGGTTCTAGCGCAGTGCTTGCAAAGAACACCCAGGAAGCCTCCGGGCGCTGGACTAATGTCAGCAGAGCACAGGTAGCGACGACAGCCTCGGCAGCGAAACAGATCCTTGTACAGCTGGGAGGGATTCTGGGGCACCTGCAAGAGATCTCCAGGTAAACTGACCAATCGTAAATGTGACTCTGCTCCTGTTTCCACAGTGAAAATATTCACAACACATGTTCCCAGTGTTGTCCATGAGTGTACATATCCACCAACCACTGCTGTAGAAAAGTGAAGCTGAAATCTCATGTCATGGGCGGCCATGTTGTGTTTTTGGAACCAGGGTTTGTGTGTTAGAGATGTAGGTCTGAAGGTCCCGTCTACTCTGCATATTTGTGGAGGCGGGACTTCAGACTTGTACTGGCGCTCTGGGTGAGGGCATTGGTTTATTTTTGATTCAAATACTGTTTAATGCTCTTATTAGTCATTACGCATGCAACCATCATTAGGTGCAACCATCTCTCTAGAGAGAGAAAGCTCATGCCACCCGTAAGCCCAGAGTGTGCTGTGACTCACTCAGAGGCTTCTGCATCCTCTCACTGTCTCTAGAACCCAACTTTAACCATTCTTGTGTTGCGTTGGGTTGGGTAGGAACTGTTCACACAGCAGGATAAATACTTTACGATGTTTATTATTTCTTCTTCTCAGATGATTAAGAAGATTCTTTTTGTTTCAGACAATAAAAGTTGGATCAGGGAGGCCATAGAAACAAGTAGGCGGGAACAGTGGACTATGAACCGAGACGAGGGGGCCTATCAGCTGTCTCACCTGGGATTCTCTTCTCCAAAAACCAGCCAGCAGGGGTGGGCATGACCAGCTGATAAAGACCCATCACAAACATCTGTGACACTTCTGATGAAGACTGCAGTCATCGGTCGAAACATGTCAAGGTTAAATAAGAACTCAGAAGACTTTCCATGTCTGAAACAAGCAGGATAAACATGCCCAGTTCTGACCCGATCCTCCCCTTCTCAAAACGGCTCTGAATTCAGTTAATGGACAATCCTGCCATGTGTGGTGTGTTGAGAGCGCTCTGGTCTGCTCAGAAGGACATCAGATGCATTCCAATCATGATTCATGGCTACGTTGGATTGTCTTTGTCCAACATCGAGAACAAACAAGTGTTCAGTTCCCAGAATGTGACTTGTAATCAATCAGAAAGCAAGGTGATGGAAACAATCTGCATGCTCCTTCTCCACCATGTTTGTTTACTCCAATGTCACATTTAATCTGAAGAGGTTGTGTGAGATTTCCAGTTTGACCAGGAATGTTGGTGTGTGGGATCGGTTCATGTGTAGTTTTTCCATGTGTCTACACACCACTCCCTGCTGGACCAAAGCGGGTAGGACCAGGATGTTTTTTTGGCCACGTGTGGTCTCTCATGAGCTGTGGCGGCCATCCTGATGTCACAGCAGATGCTTGTCCAGTGATTATGCTTTGAGTTTTATAGAATTATTTCATAATAAACAGCCAAGAATATCCAAAGAAAACTGAAGCAGGTGCAGAACATCAACAGATGACAGGAGCATCACATGTGACATGTTAATGTTAATAAGGTTCTCCATCCTAAATAGTTTTAACATTTTGAATGATTGTCTTCATAAATACGAAGTCCAATAAAAAACTGTGACGCTGAGTCGACTGTTTTGCGTAGTTTTAAGTTCTATGGACTGCACAGCCATGACTGAGCCTACTGTAGGTCAGCAGCCATTCAACAGATCACCAGTTCTTTGCAGTCTTATTAAAACATTTCCACTGCTTTGGGGAACAGAAAGCGTTTAGTCTCATGGCAGTAGAGGCTTTGGACGTACACTCAGGAGCGGCTCTGAGCTTACCTTTAGCAGCTTGGCCACATTGGGGTTGAACACCGGTGTTTTGATGTACTGGAGGAACAGCGTGCAGATCCTCTTTCTCAGGCCCACCAGGTTGCGTGCCTTTACTCCTCGAGCCATCAGGTCCGCTTCCCTTTCAATCAGACCCACGATGTCCCGGGTCAGCTCACAGTCATGCACCTGACGTGAAAACAGAAATTATGTCAGTAACAAGGACGTCCCACTGAGACAGAACAGGAGTGGCAGCAGTGTGCTGCTGTCAGGCTCAGACTGAGAGAACACATCAGAGTGCCAGCAACAGATGCTTTGGGAGTCAGTACAAGAGAAAACGAGAACATATTTTAAAGAGGCAATATTTGTGTTACCATGACGATGTGTTTAAGCGTGGTCAGAAAGTTGAGTCTCTGCTCTCTGCTGACGGAGTTCATGCTGATGTTGTTGTAGGCGTCTCGCAGCTCTCTGGCCCTGATGCTATTGGGCGTGTCCATCTCAAGGAGGCGGCCATCGGCTGCTCTCCACTGATGCGAAGCTGCAGACTGGACCCCAAACACCCAAGTGTTACTGCTGCTGGTGGTGATGAGCTGTTACTTCCTATAGACTTTATCCCTACAAAGCTGACGTTTAAGTCATATGAGTGTGTTAGAGGTTAAAAAGGCCTGCAGAGTGTGTTCAGCTGTTACACACATGGCTCTTTCTGCAGCAGGCTTTAATGGCATGGGACGCATCAGAGATAAGTTCAGCTCATTGTTCTGATGTTCTTTAGATCTTGGTTGGACTTGGTTGTGGAAAAGCATCCCACCAACAGTGTTTACAGATGCATTTAAAGACCGAAAGTATAAAAAAGTTTAATGTTAGAACGGTGGGAAGAAGTAGGGGGCGGGTTAATGAATAAGCTGTGAGAAGAAAAGACGTGACCTCTGACCTTGTCCAAGAAGTCCTTTATAACTTTATCATGGTTCTTTGCCCGTACATCAGTGTGATGACGCCCAATGGCAGTGATGAGCTCCATCTCCTGCTCTAAAAGCAAACAGAGAGCTGCCTTCCTGGGAGCCCCTGCCAGGGTGGAATTTATCTGCTGCTCCTGCTCAGATCTCCACTCTGAAACAAACGCATCGCCATTTTTAGATGCACAAGCAACGCTGTCTTCCACAGCTGCAACCCTCTACTTTTACAGAAAGCCTACTCTCCAGGGCGTGGTACGGCAGGTCAAAATCCTCCCTCCTCTGTGGATTCATCCAGCGCCGTTGCCGATCTCTCAGTTGCTTGTCTTTCTCTTCCTGCCGCCTCTTTTCCATCATGTCAAGCCAGGCCAGCCGAGACCGTCGCTGCCTCCTCAGCCGCTCCACAGCTTGCTGAGCCAGCCAGCGTCGAGCAAACGACTGCAGGCAGATGACCTACGTGACCAAACATATGGATATAGATATAAATTACATAGAGTGATACAACGTGAAATGTATTTAATTGCATTTTAATTAACTTCATGTATTAACAGATCTATCAGAATTAAAGCTGCGAGCACCGTCGTTCGGCCCTCACAGCTCAGCTCAGGGATGGGTGCTGTGGAGCTGACACTACGGCAGTCCTCTTGTATTTAAAGGTCCGGTCTCGGTCTGGGGACCACAGAGAGAGTATCACTGCTGTAAAGCAATCCTCTGTCACATTATTGCTCCCCTGTGCCTTGGGTTTTACCTTAATTGCATCCACCTGCCTCGTGTTACCTGATTACCCATCCCAGTGTGTATATAAGCCTTGTGAGTTGCCGGTTCGTACTCATTACATGTCAGTTTATGTTCACATCTGTCTTCCCTGTCATGTCTGCTCTCCTGACCATTAAAGAGGAACCAAATGTCTATTGCCGTCTTGCCTGGGTTGATTTATCTGCCTGAAAATCGGCTCTTCCTCCCTCACCTTCCCTCCACATCGTGACAGGACGAACCGACCAAAAGGATCCTGCAGTGAGTTGCCCAGGTCTTCTGGGGATGTCCCGTGCTCAAGATCGAGGGGGACGCGATGCTGGATTGGTGCATCCACGACTCTTTGGGTGCTGGCCAGGCGCAGCGTAACCTGGCGCCACCTCTGTGTTCCTGGTGGGCCAGGCATCGAGGTGCTGCGTCTTCGCCTTCTGGGCCTGCGCTTTCGGTGCGGTGTCTCTCCTCTGGACGCCTCCTCTCCTTCCGGTGGGTCAGAGGGGCGTTATGCCGCTGCTGCTGGATTTCCCCATGCCTACTCGTCCTCCTGCTGCTCCTCTGGCTGCCTTCATTACAGCTGGTCAGCGGAGGTTCCTGCTTTGCCCCGCTTGAGTAATCGAGTTTGTGTTCCTGTGGCCTCCTGGTTCCAGTGGTCTCGAGTTCCGTTCCCTGTGCCCCGTGGCTTTGCCCCACCCTTGGATGCTAGTCCCCTGACTCCCAGTGACTTATGTTTTTGTGTGTTGCCCGTGAACGGGTGCTGCTGGGCGTCAGGAGCCGCCCTTGAGAAGGGGGTATTGTCACATTATTGCTCGCCTGTGATTTGGGTTGTACCTTAATTGTGTCCACCTGCCTCGTGTTACCTGATTACCCATCCCAGTGTGTATATAAGCCTTGTGAGTTGTCGGTTCGTACTCGTTACATGTCAGTTTATGTTCACATCTGTCTGCCCTGTCGTGTCTGCTCTCCTGACCATTGAAGAGGAACCAAATGTCTATTGCCATCTTGCCTGGGTTGATTTACCTGCCTGAAGGATCCGCTCTTCCTCCCTCATCTCCCCTCCACATCGTGACATCCTCAGTGGTTTGCTCAGCTCCCACTAGAGATTTTTTAAATTGTGTGAAAATCCAAACTTTGAAACGGATGCTGTAGCTTCTTCCTGTTTTTTCTTATTGGAAGGGCGGGGCGATGTAAAGTTGCCAAACGATGTGTTAATCCATGAATAAGCACACAACAGTTGGTGTTTATTCGTGGTTTGATTTGGCATTATGTAGATATAGCTAGTTGTAAAAAATCAAAGGGCGCTATTTCAAAATCCAAATAAATCCCTTTTAGCTGATCTTAGGTTGACAAAGATCATTTATGTAGTTTAGCGAGAATCAGATCTTGCTTGTTTAGAGCAAACCGTTTCTAAGGGGTGGAGCAAACCGTTTCTAAGGGGGTGGAGCAAACCGTTTCTAAGGGGGTGGAGCTAAAGTGATTTCAACAAATGATCACATGCAAGGTTGTTGCAATTGTGACTTTGTTTTTAGAAGTCATTTAAAGTTTACATGAATCTAGGGGGCACCGTCTCTAAATAAAAAAAAATCACCTTTAGATATTCTTAGATTCACCAACATCCTGCTTTGTGTGGATTGGTGAGAATCAGATCTTGTGTCTTATTGAGGAGAAACCACATAAACACAAAAGTAGTGGAGCTACAGGGATTTCATGTAATGACCTGAGCTTGGACGTAGGACCCGTGAGGAAGCTGAACACAGTAAGACGTTTAAAATGTTAAAACTATTCAGGAGTTTGTCACCAACACTGCAGAGAGAGATGGCTAGGTTGTAACGAGGCACCAGTGTGGTCAGAACCAGGGAGAAGGCTGAGACGTGGTCAGGTGGAAGTGTGGGTCAGAACCAGAGATGACGGCGAGAGATCCGAGGAGGCAGGCGAGAGCTCAAAGTCAGGGGACAGATCCAATGTCGATAATCCGGGAAATCAAATAGCGTGGTAGGGAACGTGGCAAGGGCCCAAAGCAGGGGCGAGGCGAGAATCTGGGAGACAGACGATGGATGGAAGGCTGGAGAATTTACTAGCTGTGGCGTTCAATAATTTTGGCACTGGTTGGAGAGCAGGCTGGGTGTTCTATAGCAGAGGAGGCAGGTGTGTGGCATGAGCTGGTGACAGGGCACAGGTGATGATAATTAAGTGGCTGAGGGCTTGATTGAGGAGGCAGCTTAGGCAGAGGTAGGGTGGCAGCCTGAGAGTCATGACATTTTAACAGATGACCACATGAATGTGTTGGATGCTTTTGTGTGAAGACACACTGATTGCTGCTTGATAGTGGATGAGGAACAACTACAGCAAGATTTGTGCTTCCATGAAGTTTTTTTTTGTTTTTGGTGTGTTCTCAAAGTTTGAGGCCTGACCCCACCTCTTCAGCTGGCCGTCCCTTATGAGCAATCCTACAAAAAGTCAATCAGCCAATATCTCAAGGAGGAAATTGATCAAATGCAGACTCTAAAAATGGACCAAAATATCAAATTCTATCTAGCGTGGCCGACTTCCTAGTTATTTTTGAACATGCCTACAAGTGGCTTTTGTCCCACGGGGGTGTCGGTCCTGTTGTGGTTTAAACGCCCGATCCCGCTGGTGGACACCAGCAGTTAACGAAGCTGTCAAGCTGAAGAAAGAGTCCCAGATGTGTGACCAAGTCACTGGTTTGCAAGTCACAAGTAAGTCACAAGTCTTTCCAGTCAAGTCTCGAGTCAAGTCCAAGTCAAAGACAACCAAGTCCAAGTCGAGTCCAAAGTCAATGAGTTGGATGCTCAAGTCAAGTCCATGTCCTTAACTTTGAATTTTCAAGTCATAATCAAGACATCTGTCCAACTTCAATGTAATGACAATGATAATAAATAAATTACAGAATAAAAGCTTCTTAAAGCTTCATTTATTTGCTCAAACAAGCAGGAAGTGCAACTGGTTATAAACAAAGTGCTGCTGCGTTTAGCAGTACAGCATCAAACCCAGAACGAAGAATGAGTTATGATCGGTGTCCATGTCGTACCACTTTTGTGCTAAAATATCAAATATGCTCAAGTCATCATCAAGTCAACAGATGCAAGTCGATTCAAGTTGCAATTTATTGGCGTTCAAGTCCGAGTCAAGTCGTTAGTCTGTATAGATTTTGTCAAGTCAGAAGTCATTAAATAATGACACGAGTCTGACGAGTCCAAGTCAGGTGACTCGAGTCCACACCTCTGAAGAGTCCTATTGGGTCTTTTTGGCCTGTGAAACCATGACCATGGAGCAAGACTTCTGTATGGCTTTGAGAAGACTCTAGTCCACCACCTGACATCTCAGAAGGAGACAGCAGTGCACTGCCTACACTGTTTATAGTGGTGAGGGTGTGCTGCTGACATCAACTCAGGGATCGGTGGGTGGAATGCTTCGAAGACCTCCTCAATCCCACCGGCACGTCTTTCAGTGAGGAAGCAGAGTCTGGGGACTTTGGGTTGGACTCTCCAATCTCTGGGGCAGAGGTTGCTGAGGTGGTCAAAAGCTCCTCAGTGACAAGACACCATGGGTGGATATCCAGCTGGAGTTCCTTAAGGCTCTGGATGTTGTTGGGCTGTGTTGGTTGATGTTGCTCTGCAGTAGCGTATGGACATCGGGGGTAGTTCCGTTGAACTGGCAGACTGGAGTGGTGGTCCCCCTGAAGTCCGATTTATACTTCTCCGTCTGCGTCGGTGCGGAGACACGCAACATCATTATGCATCAGTACATGGGCTCACGGAGGGTGATGAAGACATGCCCAAAATTTTAAACATCTGACGAAAGTGACGGAGACTGCCAGCTTGTGATTGGCCAGGACGCTGCTTCTTCAATATTTGCCACCAGCACCGCTGTAGCTTCGTTAAACAGTAAACATATATTTAGCGGCTGACCCAGAACAGATTGAAGGATGCATCTCAGAAAAAGTCCGAACATTTGAAATGTATTCTTCCGTAAGTGAAGGAGTACAAAATCCGGAGCAAACGTGGACGGACACGACGGGAAACGTGGCTTTAGAGGTGGTGTCTTCATGAAGAGGTGGATGAGAATGAAGGACAAATTTATCTGTGTTATAAAGTCTCTGAAATATATAAACACATTAGTAAATACGCTATTGTGGACCGGATACAAGAGTGTTATGGTGACAGGATACCACAGAACAAACGCTACGCCCTCTGTTGTCCTGGCGGGGAATTGCTTTGCAACACTCCGCTGTCTGAACCGAACAGAAGTTCTAATGGAAACCCTTTCTGACACTCCGTGTGCGTCTCTCCATCGCGGAGCTCATGGAGAAGTATAAACGAGGATTAAGGAGGGCCGCAGAGTGTGTTCCAACTACGGGGGATCACACTACTGAGCCTCCCCGTTAAGGTCCATTCAGGGGTTCTGGAGAGGAGGGTCCATCAGGTTGTTGAAGCTTGGATTCAGGAGGAACAGTGGTTTAATTGATGAATCTATGCCGGGTTAGGGTGGGACTGTGACAGGGGCATTTATTTGTGGTCCTCCACCTGACAGCTGGAGCTCCTTGTGAAGAAGTGCTTACAGAAGAAGAGAGAGAAGTCATGTTCTGTTGTAACTCACAGCTTTCAGCCTGCGGTCATGGACCTCATCAGCGGTGATGTATTTCCCAGGAGTCACCAGCCTGTCATTCACACACTGGACGTAGCAGCCGATACCCGTCATCTGTGTTGAGGCGCTGACTGAACACTGCTGGGACTGAGACTTCAGCTCTACTGTCTATTACAGAAGCAAAATCACAAAAACGACAACTCACTTTATTTAATAAAAAGGCACACTTATCTGATTTAACATTTAAAACAACAGAAATCTTAAATCAGAACAAAATCATTTAAATTATCTTCCAGAAATGGTTTTTTCTCACACATTCAGTTTTTTTTGGGGGGGATTTTTTGGAATTTTTGTTATTTTTCAACAATTCTCAAGAAAACATCCAAACAGACCAAACAATTCAAAACCTCAATGCTGACATTCAGCCCCTCAAACTGCTCCTACTTTTCTCCAGGTGTAAATGAGACACAGTCTCCACAAACCAGTGGCTGAATGCCGGTGGGTGAGCGTTCAAATGAGTCTTTTGGCCAGCAGACAGCAAAAGGCAGCCAGATGTAATTAGCAAGTGTCCAAAGAGGCGTCCACTGCAACCACTCCCACAGATCCTGGAGAGTGCATCAAAAATAGGACCCTGATATCTCTGCAGTTTTGGGCACATCCAGAACGAGTGGAGAAGTGCAGCAGGTGACTGCATGCAGCGTTCACATGTCGGGTCCAAGTCTGGTCTCATTTTATTTAGTCTGCCTTTGGACCAATACAAACGGTGCACCACATTGAACTGGACGACCCTGTCTCACACAGATCAAGGATTCATGAATGTTGAATCCTGTGCCAGACCTCCTCCAACAACCCAACACACAGGTCCAGCTCCCATTTCTGTTTCAAGCATCTAGACTGGTCTGATGGTGTGAGCTGTGCTGGGTGTAAAGTTTACACACGACTGTTAGAGTGGAAGAGTCTGAGAAGAACACGGGAGAAAACATTCAGAGTTGGACTTGACAAAGTGTCTCGACTGTAAATACCTAAGGGGTTGTGATCTGTTGATATGAAATGTATCCACCAGTTGTTCAAATGTACCATCGACAGATCGGTGGTAGAGTGTATGCCTTTAGTAGCCCACCCACTGAAGGCCTCATCAGATACAAAAGGCAAGCAGCTTGTCAGGTAATCAGAAGGTTGTAGGTTCAATCACAGCTCCCGCAAGAGCATGCTGCTGTTGTGTCCCTGGGTAAGACACTTAACCCACCATGAGTTCAGTCTTCTTTCTTTTTGTTTAATATTTTCATCAGTAGGGAGGACAGGAAGAGAACACTAGTAACAGTAGTAGCATTAAACTGTAACTTAAACACCATCTAATTAAGGGGTGTTGACAAGGCAACGGGACTATATGCCCTGATGGCAGAGGTCAGGGATGACTTGATGTCTCCTTTTTTATCTCGTTTGCCCTTTCCTCCATGTTTTCCTCACCATTTGCAAAAGCAAAATCCCAGAAGGATAAGAAAAGAGTAAAAAAAATGTAAATAAGTAAATGGGGGGATTGACTGAAGAGAATAAAAGAACATTAGCAAGGGATGCCATGTGTTGTGACTGAGTATCTAATCTCTTCCAGTTTTAGAAATGACTTGGTGTCTTTAGTTGATTTCCACTGGAAAAGAAGACGTCTTGCCAATAAGGACGTGAGCGCTAAAATATTGAATTGGTTAGAAGTAAATCGGTTATAATCAGCTGGAAACCCAAATATTGCAACTTGGGGGAAGGTTCAGTAATCACTGAGAACATCTCTGACCTGGAAACAAAGTAATTTTGTCAAAAAGCAGTTAAAGATGAGCAAGAGTAAACATGTGAGTTAAATAGCAGGATGGGGCGTAGCATTTGTCGCAGATGTCAGGGAAACTGGGAAAAATCAGTCGAGATTTAGAGAAATGAACTCTGAATAAAACTTTAAAATGCATAAAAGAACGTCGGTCGGCTGCACAGTGGTGCAGTGGTTAGAGCTGTTGCCTTACAGCAAGACGGTCCTGGGTTCGCTTCCCGGCCTGGGATCTTTCTGCATGGAGTTTGCGGGTTCTCCCTGTGCATGCGTGGGTTCTCTCCGGGTACTCTGGCTTCCTCCCACAGTCCAAAAACATGACTGTTAGGTTAACTGGTCTGTCTAAATTGTCCTTAGGTAGGTGTGTGTGTGTGTGTGTGTGTGTGTGTGTGTGTGTGTGTGTGTGTGTGTGTGTGTGTGTGTGTGTGTGTGTGTGTGTGTGTGTGTGTGTGTGTGCATAATTGTTTGTCCTGTGTGTCTCTGTGTTGCCCTGTGATGGACTGGCCCCCCTGTCCAGGGTGTACCCCGCCTGATTGCCCATTGACCGCTGGAGATAGGCACCAGCTTCCCCCGCAACCTTACATGGACAAGCGGGTTCAGACTTATTAAGCAACCCAATGCGAAAAACATCAACAGAACAAGAAAAACCGCTGATGTCCAGCACACACACTCACTCTCTCTCTCACACACACACTGGATTTAACAAATTTTTGAAAAGGTTGCACGACCACCTCTGCCTTTTATTCCCTTGTTTTGTTCTCCAAACATTGGCACTAAAGTTAGCTTTTCTCCTAGTTAGCTTAACTAGAAGTTGGTTTGTTAGTGATGACGGTTGTGATGACACTGATTGGATGAATAGATTTCCCAGCATGCATTGTTTTTATAAATGTTAAAATAAATGAATTCAGATGAATTTTACAGGTAACAAATACTATCATTACTTATTTAAGATATGAAATTACTGATGAAAACTAAAGCTTGGCACATAAACTAGCTGCAGGTAGATGGTGAGCTGCACCACGACTGAGATGGAGTTGGCTTGGCTGGTATAATGTTTAAGCTGTTTCTCCTCATTAGTATGAATGGAGACTCACATTAAAAACAACGTGGGTACAGTTTATGAGAGAGAGGGGCCCAAATAATTGACAGGCCCACCGACATCATGGTCGGCTCGGGTGGCCCAAAGTTATTGGCCATGAGATAGGGCCAGCCCTAAATTTCCACCAGCAGCTAATTACCAAACATGACGGGCAAATGCCCGCTTTGCCCAAAGGCCAGTACAGTCCTGGTTTCAACCCACAAAATAGACCCATCCTTGAGAAGGTTGACGGCTGATGCAGTCGCAGCCCCTCTAGACCCACTGATGCCGAATTATAAATGTGATCTGTTGAATCTGAAGGATGATCTAATCAGGCCATCGTCAGAGATGTTGTTCGTTCTGTGTGTTATCTTTGTTGTAAAAGTAATAAAAAGACCTTGTTCAAACACATCGGCTGATTGGAATGTTCTGACTGGTCTGTTTGGGGTTTTATTCACTTAAAGATTAATAAAACAGATAAATAAAAATATCATTTTTTCCACATTTAAATAATAAAAATAATTATTTTAGTATTTTTCTAATAATTTGTATCAGTAAAGGTTATGATATAACAACAATACGGTATTAGTGTAACAAATAACTGTAGCTCACAGTCAAGGTTTGTCTACTTTTGAAAGACAATGCTTGGTGGAATAATTAAAAACCTGTTATTGTTGCTATTCTGCTTTTTCATTTCCATTTAAGTCGTCGTCGTCTTCCTCCGCTTATCTGGGTCCGGGTCGCGGGGGCAGCATCCTAACTAGGGAGCTCCAGACCGTCCTCTCCCCAGCCACCTCCACCAGCTCCTCCGGCAGGACCCCAAGGCGTTCCCGGACCAGATTGGAGATGTAACCTCTCCAACGTGTCCTGGGTCGACCCGGGGGCCTCCTGCCGGCAGGACATGCCTGAAACACCTCCCCAGGGAGGCGTCCAGGAGGCATCCTGACCAGATGCCTAAACCACCTCAACTAGCTCCTTTCGATCCGGAGGAGCAGCGGTTCTACTCCGAGACCCTCCCGAATATCCGAGCTCCTCACCCTATCTCTAAGGCTGAGCCCGGCCACCCTACGGAGGAAACTCATTTCGGCCGCTTGTATCTGCGATCTCGTTCTTTCGGTCATTACCCAAAGCTCATGACCATAGGTGAGGATTTGGACGTAGATCGACCGGTAAATCGAGAGCCTGGCTTTCTGGCTCAGCTCCCTCTTCACCACGACAGATCGGCTCGACGTCCGCGTCACTGCAGACGCTGAACCAATCCACCTGAACCAATTTAACCAATCTATTTAAGTTTGACTTTTACTTTTCTAAAATGATCTTGACTGTTGGCTGTAAAAATGCAACAAGATGACCTCGTGACTTGCTGGTTGTTGGTCGTGGTTCAGATCAGAATCTTTTGCTTTGCCTTTTAGGAAGAACCGAAGCTGCAGAAAAGTCTTAGGAACAAAATAAAGATCGATAAAAATGATCTTCATTCTGTCTCCTGTTCTGACTGCAGCTGCACACAGGAACACGTTGGAGTCCCCAAGTCAGTTCCAGGAAGCAGGTTTACCAAGTCACCAGAGTGACAAGCAACGCTTGAATAAACTGGAGAATCCTGAAATCATAAACAGTGTGATGTAAAAAGCCGTTTTCCAGCTTTTATACAGAGTTAATATGCAACTCGATTGCTGGAAAGACAAGGCTTTAAAGGTTGGATGAAATATAGACATAAAAAACAATTCCTAGAAACTCAACTTTCACTCGTTATCTAAAATGTCATCCAAAAGTTCAGACAATGTTTTTACAGCCATGTCTTTCTGCTGCTGGGGATTCCAGCCAACATGGCAGCATTTCACAAGCTTCATCAGCTAAATTACCTGTGAAAAGTATTTCATCAGTATTCTAATCAGCTTCAGGTGTTGCTGGTTGGGATAATCTTTAGATTGTAAAGAAACAGAGATGTGGGTGAAAGATGAATTAAAATCTACCTTCTGGGATTAAGGTGGAATACCGAGAAGTGAAATCCTGCAGCTGTTCCTCTAAACCATCACTGATAAAATGTAACGAACAGAACAAAAAGTAATCATTAGACAGACGCACTCACTAAAGGAGCTGGTAGATGAAAAATACTCAGATGCTGATTTGCTCGTTGCTATCGTGCTGCTGCTGGAAGTCAGATGTTTGCTCTGATAGTAAAACATTATGACCAACGCAATTAAAGTTCCAATTTTAGACTATTTTTAAAAATGTGTGAGTATAAGTTTGACACCTGAAGCTTCATGTAATTTCTGCAATGAAATGATGAATAAAAACATCGAAAAGGCATCTTAGTAGTACTTGACAAATGTGGCAGTGTTGTGCACGGTTCACACATTTACATAATGCAGCATGACAGCAGCAGTGTACTAATCACAACAGCGAACAACCTCTGTGTTGTTCATAGAGCCATGGACAAAACCTCGGAGGTTTACCCAGATGTTGGTTTTCTCTAAATGTTTCTACATCTGTTATAGATGTTTTTATAATTTACAATAATTGCACACGTTTTTGAAGGTATTCATTTTAAAAAGACACCAGAGGCCATATTTCTACTTTACAACCATTAAAAAATTATTTTGAAGCATGTCCCTCACTTTATGTTTTTAAACCAGAGGCCCTCTGAAAACATGTGCCATAGCTTCCCTTTAATTAAAAACACCATCTCATTTTATGCTCATTTTACACCAATGTCTTAATATGTCTTACTTGCGGTTTTCTCATATTTGCAGGTGCTTGTAACAACATAAAGAACAACGTGGTAGCCCCGCCCACCAGCAAACCACTAGAAATAACACAAGTTATTACAAATGTTCAAGTAGCCTGTGAACTAAGAAATACCAGAAAACCACATGACTGCTACCCCCACACTTGGTTAGAAGTTCTGTTTTCTTCTCCGATTACAACTTCAGCATCAGGGTGAGCAGGCTTCCAGAGCCTGATTAGGCAGCAGGTTCCTCTCATGCAGTTTTTCAATCAATGAATCAATTTCATTTGTAGAGCACCTTCCACAGCGTTATCAGAAGCACAAGGTGCTGAACAGCATCATCATAAAAACATTCCCAGTACCTGGGCATAAAAGCAAGATAAAAACATAAAATCATAAAATAACAAGCAAACAATATTACAAATACAGAGAGATAACGGAATAAGACTAATCTATTAAAAACAAATGGTGGACAAAATAAGATCAAGCATCCTGGTCAAAAAGAAGAAGTATTAAAACCATATTGTCAGGGCAATTCAAAGAGCCCTAGCACTGAAAAGCAATCAAATAACAATGAGTCTTTAGACGAGACTTAAAGACTTGAGGGGACGGTGCCTGCCTAATGCTCAATGGCAATTCGTTCCACAGAGTTGGAGCCAGATGTTGATTACACCCTTTCTTCTATTAATAAAGGTAAGCTGACCTGTACTAAGGCAGAAATCAACAACAACAATAACACAATAAATAACTAATTAATTGTTAATAATAGTAATAATAGCAATATAATAACAAGTGAATAAGTCTACCTGACAAAATAAACAATACAAAGATGGTGAATGAAATGAAAAAGACTGAAGTGTAAAACAAGTATTAGGTGTAACTGATGAATTGGAACATAATAAATGTTTTTGTTTTTAAAGAACAGCCAAAGTATTCAGTAGGATAAACGTTCCACAAACACAAACTTAAATCTGAGGAGTTCTCACACAGCTGTAAAAAAGGCATTCAGGTTTCCCAGAATAATAATGTTTTTAGAAACTATTCAAACCAAATGAATGTGTATTTTATCCTGCAGGGTTAGGGTCGGAATCAAACTAATGCAACAGACGTGTTCCTCTGAAAGCTTGTTTATGATGTTTCATTTGTGATGATTGTGATGAAGTAATGATCTGACTTTAAAAATGCCGTCATGGCTCTCATTCGCGGTGATGCATTGTTTGTTTATTTATTTAATGTCTTAAAGTTCAATGGTTCCATTACCCGGGCTTATTATTATTATTATTATTATTATTATTATTATTATTATTTTACCTGTGTCTGATGACTGAAGACCTCCACACCTCTGACAGGTCTCTTCTTGGGAAGGGTCTGGACAGCAGCATGATGGTACTCTACCCCAGTCAGGCGATGCTTGTAGCCACCCAGCCAAGGCTTTTTATAGGAGGAACGCTCGATCTCTATCACAACCTCCGTTAAAACCCCATCATCTGGATATCAGGGAGAAAATAATCACATTTTAACCAGAGGCTGAACCCATATGATGTATTTTAGAGCTTTGATCAGTTCAAAGGTGTTTAAAATGATGTCCAGTCATGGCATTTCTAGTTTCTAGAAGGCAGAAAATGATAGATTCCACCCTGTTACTAATAAAAACAAAGTCCAGGATTGGCCGAGGTTCTGTTCTAGCCAGGATCAGCTGATCAGAGGTGTTAATGTGGGCAACAGTGGCACAGGAGTTAAGTGCTTGCCCCGTAATCGGAAGGTTGCATGTTTGAGCCCCGCTCAGTTTGTCACTGTCGCTGTGTCCTTGGACAAGACACTTAACCCACCTTTCCTGTTGGTGGTGGTTGGAGGGACCGGTGGCGCCAGCCTTGCCTCTGTCACTGCGCCCCAGGGTAGCTGTGGCTACATTGTAGCTCATCCTCACCAGCGTGTGAATGAGTGAATGTTAGTGTTGTAAAGTGCCTTGGGGGGTTCCAAGACTCAAGAAGGTACTACATCAAATGTAGGCCATCGTCGTCTTCCTCCGCTTATCTGGATCCGGGTCGTGGGGGCAGCATGCCAACTAGGGAGCTCCAGACCGTCCTCTCCCCAGCCACCTCCACCAGCTCCTCCGGCAGGACCCCAAGGCATTCCCGGACCAGATTGGAGATGTAACCTCTCCAACGTGTCCTGGGTTGACCCGGTGGCCTCCTGCCGGCAGGACATGCCCAAAACACCTCCCCAGGGAGGCGTCCAGGAGGCATCCTGACCAGATGCCCAAACCACCACAACTGACTCCTTTCGATCCAGAGGAGCAGCGGTTCTACTCCGAGTCCCTCCCGAATGTCCGAGCTCCTCACCCTATCTCTAAGGCTTAGCCCAGCCACCCTACGGAGGAAACTCATTTTGGCCGCTTGCATCCGCGATCTCATTCTTTCGGTCATTACCCAAAGCTCATGACCATGGGTGAGGATTGGGACGTAGATCGACCGGTAAATGGAGAGCCTGGCTTTCTGGCTCAGCTCCCTCTTCACCATGACAGATCGGCTCAGCGTCCACATCATTGCAGATGCCGAACCAATCCGCCTGTCGATCTCCTGATCTCTCCTACCCTCACTTGTGAACAAGACCCCGAGATGTAGGGCTGCTCAATTAATCGAATTTTAATCACAATTACGATCTGAGTTTTGAACAATTATACAAACAAAACAAGCCGATTATTTGCTCCTCCCACTTGCGCTGCCCCGAGTTGCAAATGAAGCGCTCCTCCACAGTGTTGCCAACGACTTTGACGCTATTTCTAGCAGCTTTTCAGACCCCCTTCTTGACTTTTTAGATCTTAAAAGTACCTGGCGAACACCTCAGAAACATCTCTGGTAACCCTTAGCTACTTTCAGGATAACCATCGTTGACATTTCCTGCAGGTTAGCTAAACACTCCGCCTGCGCTCCGGACCGTTCTTCAGGACATTAGGAAAGGGAATGATGTAGTGATGTGTCGGTCGCTAAAGAAACAGCTCTCAGAGCTGGCTCCCTGTGGATTAACCAGAGTGAGTGACACACACACCGTACCTGCGGGCTCCTGAGCCGCTAAAAACAGCTAAATGTGTGCGTGCGGCGCGCTAAACACACGTGCAGCTGTGAGACCGGGTTGGGGGGTACAGCTGTGGTTGGGACAAATATTACATTAACTGATGGACCTGTACATAAATAGTTTAAAAATAAGGTAGAAATAGATAGAAATAAGTTCCTCACGCTGATAAATAATATTTAATCTCTCTGAGGACACGGTGCTAGTGTACTCTCCTACAGCACCTTGACACTACTCAATAAATGTTATGCAACATTTTGTGAACATCAATTTATTTGCATTTATTTGTTATAAATGCCACTGCATAATTCTTGCTGTCAGTATTTGCAAGATATTGGTATTTGGGTCAGTACTGGTTAGACTTAAATGAGTTAAACCAAGGTCTATTGCCCTTGGGTCATAGACTATGAGCTATAAGTATATTGGTCTTTTTATACTGGGAATCAGGAGTTATTTTAGTGATAATCTTGTTTCTTATTTACTTTTGTCCTGATTGTGCCCTGAGCAATTTTATGGCTGAATAAATACAAATAAAATCAACATAAATTGAAAAATCATCTTAAATAATCGAGATCTCAATTTCAGTCACAACAATCGTGATTATTGTTTTTGCCATAATCGAGCAGTCTACCGAGATGCTTAAACTCCTCCACTTGAAGTAGGACCTCTTCCCCGACCCGGAGTTGGCAAGCCACCCTTTTCCGGTTGAGAACTATGGTCTCAGGTTTGGAGGTGCTGATCCTCAGCCCAGCCGCTTAACACTCGGCTGCGAACCTACCCAGCAACAGCTGAAGGTCAGAGCTGGATGAAGCTAGAAGGACCACATCATCCGCAAAAAAACAGAGACGAGATTCTCCTGCCACCAAACTCGACACACTCCACATCACGGCTGTGCCTAGAAATTCTGTCCATAAAGGTAATGAACAGAACCGGTGACAAAGGGCAGCCCTGGCAGAGTCCAACCCTCACTGGGAACAGGTCCGACTTACTACCGGCTATGTGGACCAAACTCACGCTCCTCTGGTAAAGGGACTGAATGGCCCTTAACAGAAAGCCACCCACCCCATACTCCTGGAGCATCCCCCACAGGGTGCCCCTGGGGACACGGTCCTAAGCCTACTCCAAATCTACTAAACATGTGGATTGGTTGGGCAAATTCCCATGCCCCCTCCATCACCCTTGCAAAGGTATAGAGCTGGTCCACAGTTCCACGGCCAGGACAAAAACCACATTGGTCCTCCTCAATCTGAGATTCAACTATCGATCAGACCCTCCTCTCCAGTACCTTGGAGTAGACCTTTCCAGGGAGGCTGAAGAGTGTGATCCCCCTATAGTTGGAACACACCCTCAGGCCACCCTTCTTAAAGATGGGGACCACCACCCCGGTCTGCCACTCCACAGGAACTGCCCTCGATGACCACACAATGTTGCAGAGATGTGTCAACCACGACAGCCCTACAACATCCATAGCCTTGAGATACCCAGGACGAATCTCCTCCGCCTCCGGTGCTCCGCCGCTATGTAGTTGTTTGACTACCTCAGCAACTTCTGTCCCAGAGACTGGACAGTTCATCCCCAGGTCTCCCGGCTTTGGTTCCTCCTCGGAATGCGCGTAGGTGGGATTGAGGAGCTCCTCAAAGTATTCCTTCCACCGCCCGACTATAGCCCCAGTTGACGTCAGCAGCTCCCCATCCCCACTGTAAACAGTGTGAGCGAGTTGCTGCCTCCCTCTCCTTAGGCACCGGACAGTTTGCCAGAACCTCTTTGGAGCCGATCGACAGTCTTTCTCCATGGCCTCACCAAACTCTTCTCACGCCAGAGATTTTGTCTCAGCAACTGCCACTGCTGCACCCCGCTTGGCTATCCGGTATCTGTCTGCTGCCTCCGGAGACCCACAGACCAGCCACGCCCTGTAGGCCTCCTTCTTCAGCCTGATGGCTCCCCGAACCTCTGGTGTCCACCAGCGGGTATGGGGGTTGCCACCATGACTGGCACCGGCCACCTTGCGACCACAGCTAGCAACATTCGCCTAAACAATCGCAGAGTGGAACAAGGCCCACTTGGAATCAATGTCCCCCCACTGCTCTGCGGTCAAAGCTCTGCCGGAGGTGGGAGTTGAAGACCGCCTTGACAGGTTCTTCTGCCAGGCGTTCCCAGCAGACCCTCACTATGCGTTTGGGTCTGCCAGGTCTACGCGGCATCTTCCCCTGCCGTCTGATCCAACTCACCACCAGGTGGTGATCAGTTGACAGCTCCGCTCCTCTCTTCACTCGGGTGTCCAAAACATACAGCCACAGGTCGATGATACGACTACAAAGTCTATCATCGACCTGCGACCTAGGCTGCCCTGGTACCAAGTGTACCGATGGGCCTCCTTATGTTCGAACATGGTGTTCGTTATGGCCAAACTGCGGCTTGCACATAAGTCCAATAACAAAACACCACTCGAGTTCAGATCAGGCGGGCCGTTCCTCCCAATCACACCCCTCCAGGTCATGCTGTCATTGCCCACGTGAGCATTGAAGTCCCCCAGCAGGACAATGGAGTCCCCTGATGGAGCACTATCTAGCACTCATCCCGGGGACTCCAAAGAGGGTGGGTACGCTTAACTGATATTTGGCCCATAAGCACAAACAACAGTCAGGACCCGTTCCCCAACCCGAAGGCGCAGGGAAGCTACCCTCTAGTCCCCCGCGGTAAACCCCAACACACACGCAGTGAGTCTTGGGGCTAACAAAAAGCCAACCCCAGCCCTCCGCCTCTCACCCGGAGCAACTCCAGCAAAGGAGAGTGTCCAACCCCTCTCAAGGACTTGGGTTCCAGAGCCAATGCTATGTGTCGAGGTGAGTCCGACTATATCTAGCCGGTACCGCTCAACCGCTGCCACAAGCTCCTGCTCCTTCCCCGCCAGCGAGGTGACGTTCCATGTCCCAAAATCCAGTTTTCTTGTCCGGGGATCGAACCGCCAAGGCTCCCGCCTCGGTCTGCCGCCCGATCCACACTGCACCAGACACTTCATGTTCACCTCCTGCGGGTGGTGGGTCCACAGTTGGATGAGCCCATGTATCCGGTTCGGGCTGGGCCCGGCCGGGCCCCATGGGCGAAAGCCCGGCCACCAGGCGCTCGCTCACGGGCCCCAACCCCAGGCCAAGACCAATTTGTCATGGGAGACCCTACCAGGGGCACAAAGTGCCCCAGACAACATAGCTCCCAGAATCATTAGGGCACTCAAACACCTCCACCACGATAAGGTGACGGTTCAAGGAGAAAAATGCAGGCCATTTACCATTAATTAACTCATCATTGTTAGTTTGAGCTCTCTTATGAGAGCGGGGAAGGAGCGTTTCCACTGCAAGAACTTCAGGGTAGATTTATAGGAACACTGCGACAAGCACGTGAGTCCACCTGACCTGGCCGTCCGAACGGCCATTTTCAGGAACCTTCTGAATAGCTGCTCTGGTGTAGGTTCTCCGAACGGCTCGGTGGGGTAGCTGAGCGGAACCTCCAGTTAACTCATGCTTATTGGTTGTAACTCAGTAGGAAATGACATCAGCAGACGTCCAAACCCACCGGCAGCAGTAAAATTAGAACAGTAGCTGGAGAAGCAAAAAAATAAAAGCACTGATAGCATTTAAAATCTAACTCCGGACACCAGAAATCTCAGAATTCCATTACAGCTGTTGGAAAAAAACGGGGCAATTCCCCCACAGACTTAATTAACAGGTCTTCTCTCACAAAATTCAGAGCTGCTCTTGTCCTCTGAATGGACTAAATTATGATATAATTCTATAAAATAAATGTATTTAATATTAATGTTACTTTAGGTGCTTTTAGGGGCTGATCAGTGGCATGTCTCACTGCCAAAGCAGTCGTGATAAGCTGACTACACGTGGATCTTTTCTAATGTGGCTGCTTTTTTCATTAATAAATAATGCATTAGCACTGAAAGGAACGTATTTTTATCGTGACTGTTTGTTCGGTAATCTGAGCTCCGACTGGTATCAGATGTTTTCATATTTTATATTTTAATGCAGAAAGTTGAGAAACACTATAAAATTTTCTATTTTCTTACTAAACAAGAGACTGAAAACTTTGCAGAGTAACATCAAAACCAACAGATATGCTGGTGAAGGTTCTCAGTCATCCAGGTCATGGTGATCCAAAGGGTTCAAGTGAAGGCAACTGGACTTCTTTGGTTTCTTGAAGACGTTTCACTTCTCGTTGAGTTTATAAGCTGTAGCTGTCTGTTGTTGTTTAAACCAACAGACCTCATGGATAAACACCTGACAGGTAACGCATCATCCGATCCATGTGGGTCTTATGCTAAGTTTGCTGAAAGGGCACCAAGTTTCTACCTTTTTGGACTCGAACAGTGATGACATCTGGCATGCTGTCTTGTTCTGCAGGACACAGAGGGCGGAGTGGATGGGAATTCGGGTCGGTGGAGCTCATCTCCATCTGCATGGAGCTGTGAGGTCGAACTCCAAGTTCCATCAAGCTCTGATGCTCCTCCACCACTCTGCCTGCAAAGACACCACAGTGGGAACCCAACAGCATGAGTGAACCGCTTTTCAGTGAGGAAGAAATTCATCCATGGAGAAAACAGGTTCAACACATCTCATCTACTGTTTGTACAGTGGAACAATAATCCACAGGAAGATCATACCCAGAATAGGGCTAAAAGTCACCAATAATTCTAGTTGGGCTTGGATTTTCTGACAAGTGCTAATCTGGAGGTCTGACTAAAGCCTGATTCATGCTTCTCCGTCTGCATCAATGTGGAGACATGTAATCCGTCCTTGTGAGCCTGCTGGAGAGCTCTGCAAGGATGCATGGAGTCGAGCTCTCTTTTCTAAACATCTGTCCGTCGAGATGGACAATGCAAGCTTGTGATTGGTCAGGACACCGCTGTCGTCTACACCGCCACCATTGCACCCTCAAAAACATAAAGAGAGCCGAGGATAGCTAGTAGCAGACACGGAGAAGCTCTCTGTCAGCTCCAAAAGGGAGAGACACGCACGCACAGACGGATATGTTTTGCTCTTATACTTCTCCGTCTCCTGGGGAGTGTTGCAAATCAATTCCCTGCCAGGACAGCAGAGGGCGTAGCGCTGTTCTGTGGTATCCTGTCATGTATCGGTCCAAGATAGTGTGTTTATATTGTGTTTGTTGTATATAAGAGACTTTTTAACAGACAAACTTGTCTCTCATCCTCCTCCACCCCTTCATGTGCTCGCCACCTCTAAACCCACGTTTCCTGTCATTTCCGTCTACAAATAAAACACTCGCTGCGCATCTTTTCACTCCTCCAGTCACGGGGAATTTTACGTTCATGTTTTTAGAGTTTTTTCGCGAGGTATTCTTCAAACTTCTCTGTGTCTGCCGCTAGTTATCCTCAGCTCTCTTTATGTTTCTGAGGGTGCAATGGTGGCGGTGTAGATGACAGCGGCGCCCTGACCAATCACAAGCTTGCATTGTCCGTCTCAACGGACAGATGTTTGCAAAAGAGAGCTCGACTCTGTGCGTCCTTGCGGAGCTCTCCGGCAGGCCCGCAAGGACGGATAATGGCGTTGCGTGTCTCCGCACTGACGCAGAAGCATGAATCAGGCTTAAGAGACTCACCGTCTAGAGACAGCTGAAGCACTTCTGCAGGTACTCTTAGCTCCGAGGCTAGGTGACGTTTCAGCTCCAGAATGCTGAGTCCGATGGTGAAAGCCACAGTCATCACATGACCCTCTGGCACCAGCAGCACTTTCACTGGTGAAGAAAAAGGAATGAACAGGCTTACCCCTGAAATCAGAACTTTAATATATAACTGGTGTAACGTTGGAAAAGGCTAACGATGTGATTAGTCCACTGTAAGGTCAGAGGTCATCACACGGAAGTATCCAGCCGGTGTCATCTGCCTGGAGTAATGTGTGCTTCATCAGTGTGCCACATCTTAACCGTCTGGTCTCCAAAGCAGAAAACACACTGATTCTAATGTTGTCTCTTCAGAAGATCGTCAAAACAATTCCATCGTCTGACTTCTCTTCTGCCGCTATCGACATCCTGCTGCAAATCCAAGGTCTCACGCAGAAGACGAGACTTTTCCTTTTTAATAAATCTCATTAATGATTCTTCACAAGTTGGTCATAACTCTGTTGCTGTGAAGCTCGCACACAAGATTTTCACTCGCATGTACTGTACCAGTGTACCTGCACATGTGACGTGACAATAAAAGTGATTTGATTTGATAATTACAATCACCTATAATGATTGTTGTGTCTAAAGTGATTTAATAATTAATTAATTAATCACCACAAATGTTTGCATGACTTATTTCAAATCTTAAATAAACTAAACGAGTCTACTTGATGATTTAATGATCAAATAATTATCAGTTACATTCACGTGATAATATCAGAATATTAACAAATGGATGTTAACAAATTTACTCCATAAATTAAATGAAATAAGCTTTTTAAGTGTCACAGAGACGGGAGTGCCTGAAGGTCTTGGTAAACACCTTTACACATTTATCAGATCTGGTTTAATAAACAACCATTTCATGAAAAGTGAACTCACTTCCTATTTTAGCCAGTTCAACCAGAGCTCCTGCTAAATGACCATCCTGGGGACTCAAACCAGACATTTCAGTGGGATCAGTTAGCGGCACATGAACCATCCATTTTGAATCAACAATTATTATTTGCTCAGTCCACCACCCACTCGTCAGACGTGTAACCGTCCATCAGAAGCCACCTGGGAAGTATCTTTTGACCAGCCGTGCGTATTCTGAGGGTGCCTACGATCTTCAGATACATCAGAAGCCCACTCACTTGCTCTGAGAGACGGCTTCGCCTGCGGGCCGGATCTCCAGGAGCTTCCATGATCCAGGGTGTGCAGACTAAACAGCGTTAGATAACTTGTTAAATTTCATCCAACAAACAGCCAAATGTGTTTTATAAACCCAGACAACACACCTTTCTGAGTCCCTTGGAAAACTCTTAAACAGACCAGGTCATGTTTCATCAGAGTTCATTCACTGTCTCATTTGATATCACCGTGGATCACCATTCATAATCGTTTGTCTTTCATCATCATTAATATTGTAATAAATAGATTTTATAAACTATATTTTTGTCTCTGTGTCAAATTGTTGTAAAGTGTTGTTTCCCTGGATTAACCAAAGTTCCTAGTTTCATCAGCAATCGAATATTAAAGGCTCAATAATATTGATGATCAATATTTTTATGGAATATTTTATTTGATTGAACACCGTTATAGTGTATTGATATTTTAATTAAAGTAACCACCTACAAATTGCTACACTGGTCTATTTTTAACACATTCTATCCATCCTTCATTTTCTCAGCCCACTGTAGGCTGTTGAGAGTCACAGGGAGCTGGAGCCTGTCTCCTTCAGTAAACAGGGACAGCCTGGACAAGCAGCTCACAGCTGTGTGTGTGTGTGTGTGTGTGTGTGTGTGTGTGTGTGTGTGTGTGTGTGTGTGTGTGTGTGTGTGTGTGTGTGGAGGGGGGGGGGGGTCTCAGCAGCACTTATATCCAATCAACACCATCTTTGTTTTTTAACAGCTTTACCAAGCAGGTAGGTTCATTTACAAATATGGAAAAAGGTCCCAAAAGCAGATCAGCAGGTACCTAGGTGAGCTAAAGAACACCGTTACACGGCTGTAGGACACAAAATCCCAACTCACTTACAGCTCCAGGACCGTGCCATGTCTAAGACAAGCCACGACTCCCAACCATAATTCTACACACACACACACACACACACACACACACACACACACACACACACACACACACACACACACACAGAGACAAACAGAATTATAACTGTCATATAGCACTGTGATTGTACAAGTGGGTGTGTTGTTGGGATTTTATAAATGTAATCTTTACAGATGGAGCCTTAGTCACTTCACAACCTCAGCACAGACAATATTGCAATCTTGAGGGGACCCACTTGGGGGTCACAGACCCCAGCTTGGGAACCACTGAATTAGTACACAAAGAAATATTCAACAAGGTATATCTGCATAAAAACATCATCAGACTAATGCATTTAGCTGTTGTGGCTCCTCCTGTGACCACTTTCCAGCACTGACACCACTCCAACACGGTTGGATGAAACAGTTAGCTGGTCCAGGACTGAATCCTGGGTACGGGTGTTGCCACAGGCCAGCACTAGGACCCACCCGAGACGGCTGACCCTCGTGTCTGATCAAACTCACCTGTAGCTGTGGAGTTTGCAGCATCTTCTGGCTTGTTTTGGAGCAGCTCGGCACCATCGTACTCATCATTGTGATCATCTTCTGCAGCATAAAGCTGAGCTGTTTAGAGAGGGAATTCAGAAAGCATGTCTTCTTAGAAACACATGTCATGTGTTTCATGTTTGGGAGGAAACCAGAAAAAAACCCACACCTGCATGTGGAGAACATAGCTGCAGCTGGGATTCAAACCTACAACTTTATTTTAGTTGTTGTCTTAACATTTTGGGCACATGCAGCCATTAGATGCAATATTTCTTTTCCTTGTACAAAGATGAGACAGGTTTTTAAATGTTTCACAACAATAATATACGGTGTTGGGAACGTTACTTTAAAAAAGGTATTAGTTATAGTTACTGATTACTTTGTCAAAAAAGTAACTCAGTTACTAACTGAGTTACAAGATCATAAAAGTAACTAATTACTAACAAAAATAACTACTTAGTTACTTTTTTCATTAAAGAATGCAAGAATTACTACAATAGTAAAATATAAATGACTATTGACTGGAACATAATAAAATGTATGTCAAAATGTTTTTATAAACCTGAATAATTTAAATAAATAAGCACTTAACAGGAGGAACTACTAACAGGAACATTACACTTATCTAGACCATTAAAAGGTCACTGTGTGATATTTAACAAGACCCCAATCAGCTAACATTTAAAATTGCAAATAGAAACACCTGTAAAGATTCCCGAGCCTTTAAATGGTATCTCGGTCTAGTTAAATTACAGAAATAAATGTAATTTTGCACAGTATTCTAATTTTTCCAGCTTCACATAATTGTGTGTTTTTAGCAGCATTTCTGTTGCTGCTAATCTAGTAACGGTTAAATAAATAAATAAATAAATAAATATCCTTTAAAATGACACTAGAAGATGGAGGACTTAAATGTACTAACATGGGTCAGACCCAACCACAGAAGAGCTGAAGCTGGGTGGAGAACACACACAGGTAGTTCTAATAACACCTGAGCTCCATGACGTCTGAGACTGATGCATCAGTGTTACAGCGGGACTAAAGACATGATCAGAAACAGGTTACAGCTGGATGATCTAGGAAGGTAGAAGATCAGGACGTCTGAGGGGTGAACAGGTGAGCGGACCTTCGGGACGTCCCGCTGTCACGCTAAGAAGGGCACGGCTGCAGACCCGCAGATTCGCTGCTGCAGATTCCCACCTGCAGCAGCGAATCTGCGAGGGGTCTGCAGCCGTAGATATTCATCACGTCTTCCTCGTTCTTCACGGGCCGTGATGCTCTTGGATGAAAACATCTACCTGTTTAGCTCCTGATCAGCTGATGACAGCTTCAACACACCGCGCTGCTTAACGCACGCATTTTCTTATCAGTAACAGAAACGATCATTTTGTTAAAAGAATAAGGTAATTAATTAGTTTGCTCGTTACAGAAAGACATATTTTTTATTAACGTGGTTATTTTAAACGGCGTTATTACCATCACTTGCTGTGTCTACACTACAGCATGCAGCGACTGAGACAGTGAGAACACTGAGGGTCTCCGCCCACCCGGCCAATCATCATCGTGTTTGTAAGTGCGTTACCAACACCTCTCTCTCCCTGGCTGCAGCTGAAGTGTGGCGGTCGGAAAGCCTCACACTGCTGCTCAACGTTCGACAAGCACATAGTAACGCACAACCTTCCGTCCAGTAACGGTAACGGTGTTGCAACGGCGGGAAAAGTAATTAATTAGATTATTCCGTTACCTATAAAAGAACGCCGTTAGAAACGCCGTTATACTTAAACGGCGTTACTCCCAACACTAATAATATATTATTGTTATTCTTTTTAAACTACCAAATATGTTTCAGACTTTAAATAACAGAATAGAAAACCTAATAATTTTAAACCTTTGGGCACTAATGTGGACACAGGACTTACCTGGTTTATACTAGAACTATAACGATGTGTGACGCGTCTCACCTGATGAACACCTGGATGTCCGAACCTCCTCTGCACCTTCCAGGCCTCTGTCTCCCCCTGGTGGCTTACATGTAGTACTACCACCGTCCTCTGGGTTCTCTGCTGGGTTTTCGTCCGCTCCTTTAAAGTTAAGGTCTGCCGTTTGTTTCGACATTATTCATGTAAAATGCAGGCGGTTGCTAAGCAGGTAAACTGAGCGCACCAGGCTGGTAAACAAAAGATTTAAGTCCGTAAATAAACGTGAATAAACGCAAAAATAAAAACAATAAAGCCCACAAAAAACTGGGTAACGGGTAAAAAAAAAAAAAAACTCCGAGCTTTTCAGATCTTCACCTAAACCTTCTACTGACTTATTAAAACTGAGCTTGTGAAGAGAAGCCGCGTTTCCTACCTTCTTGTAGCAAGGCTCGTTGCTATAGCAACGGGAAACAAACGTACAATAACATTAGAATCGTGAAATTTAAAAGTAGGCATGAAACATGACTCCAGAGTAAAAAGAGCATCTGGTTAAAAGAGAGGCTGTGCTTTGGTAAGAGTAAACATACTTTATAATAATATTAGTCACATAACAGTGAAAGTAACTACCCAGCCCTGGTTATCAGTCTCTGAAATGCTAATGTAGCTTTTATTTAAAAATACGTGTGTGAGAATAATCTCATTTATCTTAGCTGTTATAGACACACACACACACACACACACACACACACACACACACGCACGCACGCACGCACGCACACACACACGCACACGCACACACATACACACACGCACGCACACACACACACACACACACACACACATACACCATGTGTAGTGCGCTGCAACATGCAGCCTTTTGTTTATGTCAACTTTTAGGTTTTGATCATGAGAAGAAAACTACATAAAAACTATCGGTTCTGGATCAGGAGGGGTTTCTCAGTAACTCCCATAATGATGCATTTTTCCAAAAGTCACTTATGACACTAGTAGAATGAACCACTTTGAACCGTTGCTGGAGGCAGTGAAAAGTTTAAGGCATTAATGATTAAAATTAAACAAAAGAAAATTAAAAACTGACTTTAATTAAAACTACTAGACAGCAGAGATGACGGAACAGAGTTTCTGTTCATTTTCCGGGTTTTCCTCATTACCAGCTTTAACTCTGCCAACAGTTCATGACAGCCAGCTTGTCATTTTCCTTTGTTATCGTGACGAGGAAAAAATAACCCAGACTAATTGTGCATTCCATGAAACAATAGACCCTGATCCTCTTTGCGTTGTCAGTCTAAGGCCTAAGCCCCAGAAGCTGGTAGGACTTAGACTGTTGGATTTCACCAAACAGCCAAAGGACCCAGCTTAGCCTTCCAAATCAAACCTGGCTGTATTTATAGAGACCAGCACAGCAGGTGGCCAGTAAAAGCTCCATGGAGGTCTTCTGCAGGGATGCTCCAGACTCAGGCATTAATATAAAAGCAGCTGTGGTTCTACTTGGCCCATCACTGTGCTGCTGTCATACTTTACAGGTGAGATCTTTTCAACTTCATTTACAAACACAAAATGCCATCTTTGATATTCTAGATCTGTTCTACTTAAATCAGAGGGGCCTGTTTTTAGGTGGTTTGTTCTAACAATGAACCTGTAAACATACAGACTCATTATCTACCTCAAACTGTGCTTCAAACCCCTTAGCTGATTTTGTTACTTACAGTTGTTTTGGACCGATGAGCATTTTACTTCCTTATTTGTTTTTTTTATTATCAAATGAAGCTGTTTAAAATATTCCAAACAACATAGAACACAGTCCAGCAGCAGATTTTAGACTTAAGAAGAAACAGGGTGGAGTCAAACACTGTTTCCATCATGGGAGAAGAAGTGGAGGTGGTTGAGGAATACAAACACCTTGGAGTTCACCTGGACAACAGACTGGACTGGAGAAAGAACAGCGAAGCCGTTTACAAGAAGGGACACAGCAGACTGCACTTCTTGAGGACACTTAGGTCCTTCAGTGTCTGTAGCAAGATGCTGCACATCTTCTACAAGTTTTTTATTTTGAGTGTAATCTCTTCAGCCATCGTCTGTTGGGGTAGCAGCATCAGAAGCAGGGACTTGAAAAGGCTCAACCGCCTAATAAAAAAGGCTGGTTCTGTTCTGGGGACGACTGTGCATGGGCGGATTTAGGACTGAAGATCCGGGGCTTAACACACACACGCGTAATCACGCACGCGCACACACACACGTGACACGCACTAGTCAACATCATATATATTTGTCTTGTACCACATAATTTTTAATCTGAAGCTACATATTAAGCATATTCAGGGCAGAGTATTGTTCCTGTTAGTGTTTAGTGTGAGATGATAGTAAAAATTCCCTTTCTTTCTCCAACAACTTTACCTGATAGCTAAGCTAACTTTAGGCAAACCAGCAGCACAACAAATATTTTCAAATAAGACTCACAAACCTGAGTCAACACCAGTCTCATCAAAGCTGGGGTTCTGTCGTTGTACTTTTTGTCTAAAAAACGCCCTTATGTCCATCTTCACTCATGCGTTTCAGGCAGAGAGTGTAGAAGATGCCGGCTGCTGAAGGGCTTCTTCTTCAGTGGTGGAGGCTCAGGCAGGCTGTATACAAACTACTGCCAGCTGCTCCCTCTCTGTTGGACTTTGGTACTGCATGTTACTTCCGCGATTTAGATCCGGGGCTTTTCATGAAACATCCGGGGCTTCAGCCCAAGTAGCCGGGCCTGAAGCCGCCCCTGCGACTGTGGAACCACTGGAGGAGATAATGCAAAGAAGGATTCTCCAGAGAATCAAGAAAATTATGGACAACCCTGAGCATTCTCTCCACAAGACTGTCCAACAACGGAAGAGTGTCTTCAGTCAGAGGCTTCTTCAGTTTCGCTGCAACACTGACCGCTACTGGAGATCCATCCTGCCAGCAGACATTGTAATATACAGCAACTCTTTGATGACTTGATTGTTATTATTATTCTGAGCTCCTACAGCAATCAGTTTCCCTCTGGGATTAATAAAGTATTTTGAATTGAATAACCACGTTTATGAGTGATTTAGATTGAAGCATTCTATACTACACTATACTGTAGTAGACTTCACTAAACTATACTACACAATACTATACTATACTACACTACACAATACCACACTATTGTTGTGATTTGAAGTTTGTATATTTATATACTGTAATTAGATAATTTAATTACCTGATTTTGTATATTTATACAATCTAAGTAATCAATCAGAAGAGGTTGTTTTTATCATCAGGGAGTTTACTTAAACACTTTGTATTGACTGAGAGACAAGAAAGAGAGAGAGTTGGGATCGTTTATGAATCTTTAATTTCTATAATTATAAATTCTTACAATCTACCAGGACTATCTCAATGATGGATGCATATGGATGTAGATGTTTAGTGTTGGTGCGTGTGTGTGTGTTTTGTTCAGAATCTCTAGGCTGACGTAGCGAATCTGGTTGTTTTGACTAGGCTACCACAAGGCTTCAGAAGCTGATGACATGAGCCGCCATTTTGCCGTACCTTAGATGGAGTCTCCCGTGTAGATCAGGAATTGCCAGGTTCCAAGACCTCGGTTGTACTGGAGCTGGTTGAAACAGCGGTCACAGCACACAACGCCCGTCTGAGGATAACTCCGTTAGTGGTTGGCAGGCGCCAGCAAGTTCACTCTTATTTTGAAATACAAATGTTGGTACAAACGACGGAAATCTCCAGCTTGACAGATCTCAGCTTAAAATAGGAAATACAGATGGCCAGCCTGTATTCCTCTTTGCGGTGATGGATGGAGAGCTGGTTGAAAACAATGTTGAGAGTATGATGTAACTCCTTGGAGCTCGGATCGAGCAGAGCTGATGTCAAAGTGGAACTTAACGTGGAACTAACTTAAAATGGCGTTGCCTTCTTTTTATATCTCCCACAGAATCTTAGTAAACCGGATTGGACTACTTTCATAAACAAACCAGATTCTGCCCTACCACAGACGAAAGTTCTGATTGGTTGAAAACAATGTGTCATGCGTTTCCATGGTAATGCATATCAGTGTGTCTGGGGCAGCCCTGTTTATTCATTTAAAGAGCAAGTCACCCCTTACAAGAAGCGTACTTCACTCCCACTTCATGTTTGAAAAATGCAACAAATACTGTTGCCTAGCAGACGGAGAGGGTGGAGCCACTACAAATACACACACTCACGGCATTGTGACATCATAATCTACCAGTTTACATCATAGCATACCTCTTAGCCAATGGCGATGTCAGATTTAAATTCAAATGCAGTGAAGAGTTTTTACCTGACAACGGTACAACACTGACAGTTTCAGGCAGAAATTTTAAATTTTAACTAAAATGCACTAAAGTGCAAAACTATTGACTACACGTGTCTGCAGCACGATTAGACACGCATTTATATAGTTTATCAGAAAAAAATAGTTTATTTGGGGGTGACTTGCTCTTTAAACACATAACTCATGACATCTTTATTTCACAGATCATTCACTTGATTATTAATGATCAACAAATGCTTTGATTAGCTTATCACAAATAAAGTACTTTTGATTACTCAATGAAAAGCGTTCTTCTGTTCTTCTTTCTCTTCTCCTGGAATGTAAACATACTGAACCAAGCGTCCGACCTTGGCGGTGTTACTGTGTGAAGGGGCAGCTGTTAAGGGCAGACCATTATACTTCCTAATGCTACACTATATTATACTACACTATACTACACTACACTATGCTACAACAAACTACACCACTATACTATACCATACTATACTTCTATACTTCACTACACTATACTATACAACACTACATTACACAACACTGCACTATACTATACTATACTATATTTCACTATACTACCCTACACTACACTATACTATGTATTACTATACTAGACTATACTACACAATACTACACTACACTATACTACACTTCACTACACTACACTACACTACACTACACTACACTACACTATACTACACCATGCAACGCTACTATATTATATTATACTATGTTATACTTCACTACAATACACTACGCTATACTATACTATGCTATGCTACGATGCACTATACTATACCACAGTATATTACACTATACTACACTACACTATACTATGCTATACCTCACTATACTACACTACACTATACTACACCACACTACCCTACACTACACTACACTATACTATACCACACTACACTACACTACACTATGCTACACTACACTACACTATACTATACTACACTATACTACACTACACTACACTATACTATACTATACTATACTATACTACACTACACTATACATCACTATACTATACTATACTATACTATACTATACTATACTATACTATACTTACTTACTTGCTTTAGGGTGTGGTGGTCCAACATGTTTTCTGTTTTGAGCTGTAATTTCTCTCATCTGGGCAGCAGTTCTTCAGTGTGCAGGACAGACCCAAGGACCATCAGCTGCTTGGGTCAACCAGCTGACCCTTTGCAATCATGAAATAGTCAAGGAAAAGCAATAAAGTACCACCACACACATGTAATACCTGCTCGGCTGCCCTCTACCTCTCACCTGGATCCATACATCCCAACTTGTTTTTTTTTCCAGAGCAATGAACACATTTGAGGAAAATGAAGATGAAGCACTCAACAGCTACATCATCCAACTTGGTATTCATGATTCCTGCCAAGATGCATTACTAAAATCAACTGCCAGGTAAAAGAAAAATAAACACACAAACACAACTGTCACTTCACTCAGTAAAATGTACTTCATAATAAACAGCCCTGTGCCTCCTCTGCCCTGGATTTATAGTTTAAAAGGTGGAACTGATGAAAATATCAGAGTCCTGGCAGCCATCAAGCAAGGTGGGTTGGACATCCTGCTGGAAAGGGGTATTTGTCACAAAGGGGTGTTGATATGTCTGTGTGCCATGTTTCAACTGGAGCTAAAAAACCAAAAAGACCCAAGCTGCAGCTGCATTTGAGAACTGTTCAGCACCATGAGGCTGAAAGCCAGGCAGAAAGAGGAGGATACATAGAAAAGGCAGAGGAGAGAGGAGAAGAGCAGTTTGTATCAAATCCAGTGGCGGGCGGTGCGTTCCACCCCTGGGCCTTCAGTGATTTCCTATTCAGTCCAGTCTAATTTAATACACCTTAAAATACCATCAATAGGACATCACAGCTGGAGAAACCTCACACACACACACACACACACACACACACACACACACACACACACACACACACACACACACACACACACACACACACACACACACACACACCAGTGGCTGGTCAAGACACATAATTTCCAGAGTCTTTAAAATCAAACTCGCATTCCCAGTTGAGAGTAGGAAGCTGACCACGGATACCGTCAAATCTCAGAAATGAAAGACGGGTTTAAGAGATGAGACAATAAAATAAATAAGTAAAGCAAACACATTATTTGCATTTGTTTTGGAGAAAATTGTACCGCGAAACAATTGAACATGTTGGCGCAGCTGCACACACCACGTCATTCACAATATAAATTGCATAGAAACAGAACACAGAATAATTTCATTTTGCCATTTTATTTCATTACCATTTATTGATTATTAACAAAATAAAATGACAAAACATTAAAAAAATACTAATAAAATGTTTCTACTCACCAACATAAATGTCCAGCATGGATCTCCTCCTCTCCTGCTCATTTGAAAATAAAATCCATCCTTCTTTGTTTCCTCAGGAAAACCTCAGTGGCTCTGTACAGTTTATCTGTGCGCTTCAGGTCCATGAGTGGATCCTTTTCTATGGACATGGAGGCTGAAAGACGTGTCTGCCCGGTCGTGTTTCTGGCGTATATTTTAACGCGCTTTAATGCTACCAAATCCATCTGATGCGAGCAACAGGCGTTCCCAGCAGAATAACCTGCAGCGGTTCTCTGAAGCTGTTAGCCATGGGTACCGTTCATAGTTGCTTGCCTGAAAATGACGAACAAATCCTTTCTCCTGCTGGGACAAGCCAGCTAGCGTTGGAGTCAGACGACCTGTTCTCACAAGATCCTTTTTTTCTTGAAAGGTCCGTCTTGAAAATGGTGTGGCAAGTAAATCTGCAACCAAGTCTGTCTCTTCTCCTCTTTCAGCCATCATGTGTTCAAAAACACACCGATAGCTGCCTATAGATACAAATCTCTGTGTTTAGTTTTGATATTTTGCTTCATGCCGCTAGAAAAGTTCTAACTACTGCTCATCCAATCACAGGATGCGTTCATGTCAACTTTTGCGTGAGGCCAGCTAGCTAGCCCGGGCCAAGCTGACTCGTGAGCTGACTGGCTATCGCAACTAGATCGTCTCTGTTCACTTACAGCGGACAGCGGGCTTCTCGATTGATTCTGAAGGCCTAGAGCAGACTTAATCTGCCTGAAAACACAAGCTAGCTTAAATCTGATTGGATAACACCCAGCCTTGGTATTTTAACACTGGAAGCAGCGCAGCCAAATGGGTATAATAGGTTATAAAGAAAATAGACCAGTAAACATTTTTTTATTTAAAAATAATTACCAAAGGAAAAAAAATACATTTATGCTTTTGAGTACGTTTAGGCCAGCAGAGAAGGCTTTGCTGGCCCTGACTGCCCACCACTGATCAAATCAGAGCTGGAAAAAAAAAACCCTGCAAGAAAGACAATATTCTCAGCTTCACGAGTTCTGGATGTTGTGGGTTTCATTAAACCTTCCTCTTGTTGCTCTGCTGACCAGGTGACGTCTCGGTGCTCAGAGGAATGCTCAAACACACTTTTGCCTTCAGAGAGTCAGACAGTCGTGGCTGGCTTCCCCTCCATTGGGCTGCATCCCAGCCAGTCCTGGAGGTTCTGGAGACCGTTCTGAAATGTGAGAAAACTACTTTTTAAATACATTGTATATAGTAAGAGTCTAAGATTTGCTCAGATTTATTCACTTGTCATTTACAAACATGGAAGAATAAATGTTTGTCAGAATATCCTGTGTAGTCGGTTAACCAGCATATGTTATGTTCTGGTGCAGGTATGCTGGCCCAGGATGGGATGCTGGCTATTGGGTACTAGACAAGTATGCTGGACCAGCATCCCATCCTGGACCAGCATTCTTGTCCAGGATGGGATGCTGTTCCACCAGTTAAACCAGTACCACAACACAACACATGCTGGTAACCAACTAAGCTGGTCTATGCTGGGTTTTCCGACAGGAAACCACATAAAACTAATCTTAAGACACTGAAACAACTACAATGACATAGAAGTAAAAAAAAAGAGCAAAGTCAAAAAGGTTTGCTGCTTACCCTTTTGCTGTAGTCACTGAGACTCTTTAGTCTTCTGCTAGAATGAAGGAGGGTGACTGACTGATCACGGAGAGGGTCGGTCTCTATCTGCCCTGGCTCTGGTGCGTCAGCTGGTGTAAATGTCCTCCAGATGATGTTGAAGTACTAATTAGTTAGCTGATATGACCGCTCTTTAGAGCATCTATTGTTCAACAAGAAACAACTTGACTAAATTGACAAGCACCCTGCTCACATGGGCAATGACGGTGAGACTTGGAGAAGTGTGGTTGGGAGTGTTATTGTTAAGGTCTGTAGAAAGCTTCTTTCCTGTCTGATCCTCTCCAGCCAGTTAGGGTTAGGGTACCCAGGGTAGGGTTGGGCTAATTTCCTGGTTCTTTGCATCCAGAAGAGGAAGACCGGTAGCACTCGGTTCCTGATACACTTCCACAAATGACCATGTTATTCAATAGGTTGCTTTTAATTTGATTTATGTATAAAAAGCGTGGAAAATGGTACAAACAAGACATGTGACCCCCTGAAGCCAGCCCTCATGGTCATCAATCAAAAAGGCCTCGAATGCTCTGAGACATTCGTTTTATCTTTAGCTAAGCCCCTCCCTATTTGGTGACATGGATCGCCATTGGCTCAGTACATGTGTGTGTGTCACGAACCTTATCCTAAATAAACAAGATGTGAAAATAATGAGTGTTGCTGCAACTTGTCTGATTGGGTAAGAACAAACACTCCAGCATAGTTGGTGTACAGATAAATAAGGGGGCATGACCTAAGCCATGTCCCAGATCGAACAAATTATCCAACAGGAGAAACGACCCCCCCGATCGGATCTCGAGCGGTGTTTTGTTGGTGGACTTCTGTGCTCGTCATGGATTGGTCATAATGAGCAATAATGAACAGCATGTTCAAACATAAAGGCGCTCTCGGCACCAGGCTCCATCATATTTTAAAGTCAATAATTGTACTTTATATCCCGTACATTTTCTAAAACGTTTTCAAAAGTAAAAGTATTTTAATTAGCATTTTTCTGACCCCCACCAGAAACCCCTTGTCTGACAGCAGACTTACGCCCGGAACACACCAGCTAAGTGCCGCGAAGTGGATCGCTCACAAAATTCGTGTGCTCCTCCTTTGTTAACATCGGGCTAGAATTTTCAACGAGCACTTCTGCTCACGCCTACTGTTCTCCAACCCCCCACCCTTGCTGTGTGTGTTTGTGTGTGTGTGTGTGTGTGTATGTGTGTGTGTGTGTGTGTGTGTGTGTGTGTGTGTGTGTGTGTGTGTGTGTGTGTGTGTGTGTGTGTGTGTGTGTGTGTGTGTGTGTGTGTGTGAGTGAGTGAGTGTGTGAGTGTGTGCAACCAGTTTGCTCCACTTGTTGACCTCAGAAACTGCGCTGATCCTGCTGCTGTTTTGTAGACCTGTTCCTTTCTAGATGTGTAAGTAAATAACCTAGTGTTTGTGGTAGTGTACAACACTATTGTATATTTGCCTTTGAATCAAACGCATTTGTTTGTATTCACATTTATTAAATCCATCTTTTGCTGTAAAACCTGGATTTAAAATTATTGAAACACCGCTGATGTGACCAAGATGTGACAAGGGCGCCGATTAGAAGCGCTCGTCGTTGCACGGCGCTTTGCGGCGCATCGTCACGCTTCCGCGTCTGGTGTGTTCCAGGCATTAAACTTACACAACACATATTTAAATGTTAGTTGAATACTATTACTCTTTTTTACATAAATGAAATAATTCTTGGATATTTCCACTTTTTCATAAGTACTTCTTCCACCAGTCCAAGCAAAATGCGGCTTGGGTTGTCGCTGAAGCAAAACTCTGGAAGGGAAAGCAGTGTCCTACCAACACTGTTTATAGTGGAGACAGTGCTGACTTAGACTCAGGACGCAGTGGATCGGTGGGTAGAGTACATCCAAGACCTCCTCAATCCCACCAATATGTCTTCCAGTGAGGAAGCAAGGTTGGGGACTTTGGGTTGGGCTCTCCAATTTCCAGTGCTGAGGTCATTGAGGTAATCAAAAAACTTGTTGATAGCAAAACCTGAGGGGTGGATGAGACCTTATAGGTCTGGGTTTTGTGGGGCTGTGTTGGTTGAGGCAGCTTTGCTATACCGCGTGGACATCTGGGGCAGTCCTGCTGGATTTGCAGATAGTGGTGGTGGTCCACCTATTTAAAAAGGGGGACTGCTGGGTGTGTTCCAACCCTCCTGAGCCTCTCTAGTAAAGTCTATTCAGAGGTTCTGGAGAGGAGGGTCCATAAGATAGTTGAACCTCCAGTTCGGTTTTCGTCTGGGCCATGGAATACTGGACCAGCTCTATACCCTTAGCAGGGTCCCGGAGGAGGAGTGTGGGTTCACCAAACCAGTCTATATTGCACCTTTTCCATCAGCTCTACTCAGAATGACTGAAATGGGTTTGGTCCAGTTGGACCACCTCGTCCAACAGCATGAGTCATTTTTTTCCCCTACCTTTTCTAAGCGTACTGAGCTATTTTGAAAATGCAACATCAGTGACTGCCGGTCACTGATTGGCCAGGTGGTGGAGTTACTGGTTGCCCTGGTCTACAGCTTTCTACCCCCCCCCTCCCCCCCATTTCCCACGCTATAACGAACACGCCCAATAGAGCCATGTCTAAGTTTCACCTGGAAAAGCAACTCACGCAGAGCTGAGCTGAACTGAGTCAATTTAAGCCAAATTGAGCCGTGTTCTGTAAGAAAAAGGGGCATACGTTTTTATGGTCGGCCATTGTGCCAGTAACAAGTAGTCAAGAATTCCTTTTCCAAACTTAACCTGTGTCACATGCAGCAGTCAGGCGTCCATGTTAACTCTTCATTCGTGCACTTCTTCTCTATCTTACCTACTTCTCTTATCCTGTACTGTCCCCTAGTGGTAGACACAACATGCAAGTTTACGCGGTCTTGCCAAAATGAGTTTTCTCTGCTGGGTGGCTGAGCTCTCCCTTAGTTTGAGAAGCGCGGCCATCCAGGAGGGGCTTGGAGTAGATTCGCTGCTCCTTCACATTGAGAGGAGACAGTTGAGGTGGCTCGGGTATCTGATTAGGATGCCTTTTGGATGCCTCCCTGGTGAGGTTTTCCGGGCACGTCCAACTGGGAGGAGACCCAATGGAAGACGCAGGACACGCTGGAGGGACTATGTCTCTCGGCTGGCCTGGGAACACCTTGGGATTCCCCTGGAGAAGCTGACCTAAGTGGTTAGGGAGAGGGAAGTCAAATACGTAGCGCAGCTAAATGAACAGTTAGCATCCTGAAAAATGAAACATTTTGCAGGAAATCTTTGCAAGAGACCAATTTTCCCTCAGCATGACAATTCTACAGGAGATTTGTGCTTATGTTGAAAAGTACTACGTACATATTTAGCAGTGTTACTCATTTCCGTCGTTTCACAATAAAGGTGAATAATCTAAACATGCAAACTGAAGGCTGATGGGTGACAGTGACTGTAAAACAAACCAGTGACATCAGAAGAAACTAAAAAGTCTTTAACATTGAATTAAAAATTACCTGTGAAGGTGAAGCATGAAGAGAAGAAAATAAACAATGTATCATGAAAAATAACCCGTGCAAAAAAGTTCCAGCTGATGCCAGCTCATGTGACCAGACCTACTAAGTCTAAAATAAATCTCGGTGCCAGTTCTGTCCTATCTAGTCCAGAGATCAGCCAGCAGAAGGGTGCCCACAGCTCACATGCCAGATTACAACAGCTGACAGTGAGATCAAGATCAGGAATGCACATGTGACCTTTGTGTCGTGTTTGTGTCATTGGAAGCTCAGGGGTCCAGTCTGGAGGAGAGGACGGGTATTGGAGGAGAGACGCCACTGACACTGGCAGTGAAATCAGGACTTTGGCATAATGTGAAGATCCTGCTGGAGCACGGGGCATCACCTCACAATACCAACATCAGAAATGAGACACCACTGCTGCTGGGTAAAGCCAACAAGCACAGCCAGTGATCATCACAGGAGTCAGAGCACACAGTACCCTTTCACCCACACAGAGTCTGTCAATCAATCAATCAATCAATCAATCAATCAAAGTTTATTTATACAATGCTTCACACTACCCAGAGGGTGACCAATGTGCTTAACAGTAAAAGTAGAAACAATAAATCACCAATAGAATAAATAATAAAGTTTAAAGTCAGTATAAAAGCAAATAGAATCAGAGTCATTCAAACAAACGTAATTAAATCATCTCCATTGTAATGTTGAATAAATAGTATATTAAATAATATTAAGTATATTATATAATATTAAATAATGATCTATATATTTAAATAATAATCAAGATGTCATATCAAAATATTAAACTCAATGCAGATTAAAACTCTCCTGGATTTTTAAAAGCCATATGAAAGATGTACGTTTTTAATCCAGACTTAAATCACTTAAAATCAGTAGTCATGCGTAGGTGAGGTGGTAAGTTGTTCCAAAGTTTCAGAGCTGCTACTGAAAAAGAGCGATCTCCCCACTGTTTGTATCTGGAGTTTGGGACATGTAGATGATATTTATCAGAAGACCTTGTTTTTCTGCCTTGCTTTGTGATGAGAGACAGATGTCCTCAGACTTCCATTGCTCCTTTTTTGGTCTGGCTTTTTTGGGGGGGTTGAAAAGATTTGTTTAAAACATTAAATGATGATGATGTGGTAAAATAGTGTACAATAGGTATTTTTTTACATTTCAAAAAGACATTAAATAGTAAGTAAGTAGTGAGTAAATGTTATTTCTATAGCACTTATCACAGACATAGAATCACAAAGTGCTTCACATAGATCAAAACTAAATAGAACTGTCATAAAATCATAATGATCTCAAAACAGAATCAGATTAACATCAGAAAAAATAAAATCGTAAAATTATAAAATTTCATAAACAGATGAAAGATGATTACAAATTTGAGTTAAAAATAAGAAAATTTAATATTTATGTAAAAGCAGATTTAAATAAAAGGGTCTTTAGCTGTTTTTTAAGTGTCCAGACTGTCAATACTACATAAGGATAAAGGAAGATCATTCCAGAGTCGGGGTGCTACAGTCTGGAAGGAGCGATCACCTCGACTTTTATATCTGGTCTTTGGAACTTATAGAAGAATCTGGTGTGTGGACCTGAGGGCTCAGGTTGGAGCATAAGGCTTCAAAAGTTCAGTAATATAGGGAGGAGATTGACCATGTAGAGCCCTGAAGGTTCTAGTCAGGATTCTAAAATGAACTCTTAAGTTAACGGGTAACCAGTGCAGAGACATCAGAATAGGAGTGATGTGTGCTCTCCTGTTTGCTCCAGTTAGGAGCCTCACTGCAGAGTTCTGGACCAACTGAAGGTGTTCAAGGGCTTTTTTGTTAAAACATGTGAAGAGTGTGTTACAGTAATCTAGATGGGAAGAGATAAAGGCATGGAGAACCATTTCAGGTTCATGTTTTGACACCAACCTTTGCAACTTGGAGATATTTCTTAAATGATAAAAACAGTTTCGGACCAATATTTTTGAGTGGCCTTCAAGAGACATTGATTGGTGCAAAACCCCCAAATTCCTTAAGTTTGTCTTGACGGCAGAGGATAAATTACCAAGTTTTAGACTAATCGGGGAACCATGCTTTCACGGGCAATGGTCAGACATTCAGTCTTTTCAGAGTGTAACTGGAGGAAGTCATCTTCTAGCCAGCTGGTGAAAGCTGATAGACACTCTAGTCATTCAGACAGTTTTAGAGCTCAGAATCCTTAAATGAGCAGCACAGCTGAATGTCATCTGCAAATAGGTGATAGGATATATTATGAAAATAATCAGTTATCTGTCCAAGAGGGTGTATGTACAGCAGAATCAACAGTGAACCCAAAACAGAGCCTTGGGGTACCCCACAGAAGAGATCGGTAGAATCTGACATGATCTGGTTTATACAGACACTGTAACTTCTGTTAGAAAGGCACAATCTAAACCAGTCTAGAACAGTTCCAGAGATCCCAACCGAGTCACGATGTCTGTTAATTAAGGTGCTGTGATCAACAGTGTATTTTTCTAATTTAATTTATTTAAAATGATACTGCCACTGTATGACTTTCAAATCTGGATTACGTGTTTTGGTCACTGTGCAGCAGTCAAGGCTGTGTCTTACAAGCTGACTAACACACTGGTGGCTCACGGCGCGTGGATAGAGCAGATTTGCCAGAAGAGGTGGACTGCCATGCATGAGGCGGCCAAGGTGGGGAATGTGGACATCCTGATGGTGCTGCTGAGAAATGGTGGGCAGGTCAATCAGAAGGATGTGATGGGAATGACGCCAATAGCTGTGGCTGCTGAACACGGACATCTCCATGTCGCTGAGATACTGCTGAACTGTGGTCAGTTTGGAAAAACTTGAGTTGTACAAGGTGATGTATTTGTTACCCATCTCTGATTAAAACATTTGTCTTACTATTAACCCCGTTCAGGCAGTAAAGTCAACTCTCAGGCTTGCAATGGGGAAAGTGTTCTGATGGAAGCAGCTGGATCAGGGAAAACTGCTTGTATTCAGTTGTTGCTGGACAACGGAGCAGATGCAAACCTTCCCAGTAATTCTGGACATCTACCAGTTCACAAGGCTGCATATGCTGGGCACTACAAGTGAGTTCTCTTAACAATACTGCAGCCTAAGCTGATGTCTCTCTGGTCTTAACTGCTGGTGATCGGCGATACAAAATTAAACATGTCTTGTACTCTAATAGGAATGAACCTGATATATGAATGAATCAGCTCCAGACATGCACACTGGCTTCATGACTATTCTGAATGAGAATTAGGTTTGAAATGTTTTTAATATGTTTAAAATGTATTAAAAAATCACAGGAAGCTCCTGCAACTTGTGGAATGACATTGAAATTCCTTTTGAATGTTTCAATGTTTGTAAACGGCCTCAAACAGTATCAATGGACTGTCTCTGAGAAAATGTATATTTAATGTATGGTACGTCATTTTGAAGTATGATTGGTCATCCTCAGTAGCATGCATATGCATATATGCCACCCACCTTGACTCACAACCACGGAAGGATGTGTTTTTTTAGCGACCAGAGCCAACAGAGCATGTTAGTAGAAGCTAACCTTTAGAAACAAGCCGGACACATTTGGGCTCATGTCATTCATGGAGGAAACACACAACAATGAATGTTTACTCAAGAAAGAAGAAGCAGTGGAAGAGTTGCGTTGCTGTTAGCTAATCAGAGACCAGATGTTTGAATAACATACACTGAGTAACCCCTTCTTTCCACCGGAGCCGTCAGCAGCACGTTCCTGCAGCAGCACGTCATAGCTGCTGATAGGAACCGCTGTGGTCAACAGAACCTTTTCCACTGGAGCCGTCAGCAGCCGTCAGCAGCGCGAGTTGGCCGCATCTCAGGAGCAGCATGTCACGGCCCTTACGCGCCGGTTCTATTTTCTACGCGCTACGCCTCTGAAACGGGTCAAGTTCGACATTTTTGGGGAAGGAAAGACAGGAAATCGGACACGGAAACGGAGGGAAGCTCCCGAGATTTTCAGAATAAAGAAACGTACTGCCTTCCGGTTGCTTTACTTTAAAAAAAAAGTTACTAACTGTGCGGCCCCATGAGAAGTTATCACCTAGCTAGCGGTCTCCATTGTTTTTCAGGTCCGTGTTGGTGATTATAAAATGGACAGAACATAAAACACATGCCTGATATTAAAATCCATCCAGCTGACCCGAAGCAGGCAGAAAAAAAACTTACAGGTAGATGAACTCCTACCCACAGGTCTGTTGTCTCCATGGCTACAAGGTAGAGCGACAGAGGGACAACCAATCACACGTTAGTATGATGCGGCAGAGCCAATCAGTGAGCTTGTAGGTGGGTCTAAGGGAAAATAGGCTTCAGCTTGAGGCGGCTGCCTCCGCATGGTCCTAGTGCCTGATATGTATCACAGTATAACTGTGTTGTACAGTAAAATCTGAGGAATGACCGGAAAAAGGGCACTTTGGACAAAAGTGGCAGGTGCTCATATATATATATATACATATATATATATATATATATATATATATATATATATATATATATATATATATATATGTATGTATGTATGTATGTACGGTATGTATGTATGTACCCGTATGTATGTATGTATGTAGCATAGGAATGTTCCATGTATAAATGTATGTGTGTGTGTGCATATGTGTGTGTGTTATTTGTTTTCTTGTTTTTTTTAGTTTGTTTTATATTTTATTTTGCAATTTTTACTGTCAGTGAAGAACTTTGTTTGTCTTTGGTTGATTATTCCATTCTCTGCCCCCAGTGCCTTGAAAATGCTAATCCCAGTCACCAGTAAGAAGGCCATTAAAGACGCAGGTCAGAGTCCGGTCCACTCTGCTGCAGATGGAGGCCAGAGCCACTGCCTGCAGCTCCTGCTAGCCTGTGGCTTTGATGTCAACTACCGCATGAGCAAAAGAAACTCTGAAAACTATCAAGACTTGAGGAGAAGTTCCTTGTATTTTGCCGTCTCCAATGCAGATGTGGAGTGCACTAGAATCCTGCTGGCAGCAGGAGCAAAGACCAACTTGGATCCCCTGCACTGCCTCCTGGTGGCGGTCAGGTCTGGGTGTTATGAGATTGTGAAGCTGCTGCTGGCAGCCAAGGCAGATGTAAACTGTTACTTCACAGTGGTGAGTGACACAGTGTTTCCCACAGCGCTACAGTACTGCCTGAAGGATGAGGTGATGATGCGACTGTTGCTTAACAATGGCTACAATGTAGAGAGATGCTTTCGCTGTCACCATGACAACTCACATGATGGCTTTGAAGAAATGGATTTGAAAATTTCTGTAAGTGTTTGACCCTCTTTTATTACTTAAATCTAATGGAAAACAACATTTTCTGAACTGTTATTTATTCAGGAGAAACTAATATTAAGCACACGATCAAACCTAAACATAAAAGGTCCTTCTGCCATAAAGCTAGTATTGTACTGGGTTGAGATTTGGCGAACAGTTGGAGACACAACTTTGGAATAAAACACACATTTTCAGTGATGATCAGACTGATCATGTGCATGCAACACTTCTACACAGAGCTTCATTTGTGTCCAGATCATGTGGGGCATAGGAAGGCTCCGAACATATTTTCATTGTGAATCATTTTCTTATTTCTGTTTCAGTTTAGTGACGAGCTGTTCTTATCAAGTCTCATTTTGCTCAAAGTTTACTCTCATGCATGTCCCCTCCAACAGGAAGAGACCTCCAGCAGAAACATCTTGTCTCTTTTTTCACTCATGGAAACTAAACTGAGAAGGGTTTGAGATGAGTTTGAGCCAATTGTGACATATCTGAGGCTTGTTTACGTTCTCTGAACTCCTTCCAGGGCCGCTGACATGACCACGTAGAGAGCCATCAAACATGTTAGAATAACATGAAGACTCCCTTTCAAAATATGTTTGCAATTTGTTGCCAAAATGGCATCCCGGTGGCTTTCCAAAGACTGTACCAACGTTGGTTCAGAATTCAGATGAACTGCTGAAATTTATTCCCAAACTTTCACCAATCCAAAGCTAATGCTTTCATTGCAGCTTTATGATTGATGATGGTAATGTTTTGTTATGATGTTTTTGTTTTTGCTCCAGTTCTGTGAGTTCATCAGTCTCTGCTGCCTGAAACATCTGTCTGGGACTGTGGTCCGGATTTTACTTGACTATGTCAACCAGGTCCATCTCTGCTCTAAACTCAGATTCATCTTGGAAAAGCAGAGACAGTGGCCTGAGATCTGCAAAGTCCTCTGTGAGTTGGATCACATACTTCACAACCAGTTGGGCGTCTTTGGCGTTTATTTACAGTTTTTAGTATCTGAGAGCTGTCCGCCCGCGTTAGAACATGGACGGTCTCATTGAACAAACTATCCAATCAGTCTCTGAACAAATACCAGCTGGGCAAAAACGAAAAATATCAGTCCCATTTGTTTTTCTTTATATTATGGTTTCGTCTTTCATTGATCATGAAGAAAATTGATGTCATTCGTCGATCTCTAATAACTGAATGCTTAGGTTTTTGGTCTTGGTCTTGGTTACCAGAGTAACAACTTAGTTTTTGGATCAGTTTAGATGCTGACATTAACAATATGTTTCAATGATGCACCAACACCAATGGGTTTTTAGATGAATAAACATAAATGACAGTAAATTGATGAAGCTTTCATCCTGAAGGTAAAGGCGCAACATCTACCAGCTGCTTTTTGGTTTTTTCAGCTTTAATTTAGCATTCACCAAACTGAGACACAGTTTTATTTCTACAAAATATTTTCTGGCAACATAAATAAGTACTGTTACAGTTATGAATGTTACGCATTTCTAGACGTGACTTTAACCCTGAACTCTATGTAAACAAACCCACTGCAAACAGACTCTATAATTTAGGTTCCGAATTCCAAAAGAAAAAGCATCAACTCACTGATACAAGTCTCTGTTACCATGGTAAATTGTTCAAAGTCAAAGTCCTATTAAGCCTGCCGCACACGAGAGAAAACTACTGAGCAAACGGCCTCGAATGACCGTATGCTCAGCAGATACCTCGCCGTGTGCGCCTGATTTTTACAGACCGGTGTGATATTTTCCACCTCACGGGGGGTAAAAACTCACAGTGTGCACACTACGTGCGGTGCTGGCTGCGCTGAAATGTTCTAGCGGCCAATTCAAAGCATGTTCTCTGCTCAAATGAGCCCTTTGGCAGCATTGTCAGAAAATAAACAAGACAGAGACAGAGGTGGAAAGGGAGGAAATGCCTCTACTTATTTTGTTGATGAAGCGTCGCCACCATGTCAGGGTTAGGAAAGTATGGGTACAGTGGCTAGAAAGAAGGGCCAGGCATAGAGTTTATTTCCAAACTACTCCAAGATATGTGCCTTGAAGACACAGCATGCCTCCGACAGTGCCGCCGCCTGGATACTGTATCCTTGGAGAGGAAACTATGGGCCCGTTGATCCCCAAGGTACCATTTAGTTTATTTTTCTGGCATGCGGACGGGGCAAGGGGCTGTATCTGAATACATCTTGAAACCATGTGAGTGGAGAACGCCCTTTAATTGGCCACAGTATTTCAGCTCAGCCAGCAGCACACGTCGAGTTTTTACCCCCCGTGAGGTGGAAAATATCAAACCGTCAGTGTCATGGTTTGCCTCCATCTACTGGTGAGGTGTGTCAGCTCTGTGTTTGCAGGAGGGTGTGGCAGTCATCTCAACTGTTGGGAATTCCACTAATTGGAGGTGCAGTGGATTTAAGGAGTGGCGTGACTCTGTCACACCCCGTCCTGTTTCCCCTTTTGGTTTAGTCCTGTGTCTCTGTTAATTGCTCCCACCTGCCTCTCGTTTTCCAATCACCCAAACTCTCAGCCCTCTTGTATTTAAACCCTGTTAGTCCATTTTGTCTGGTTGGATCATTGTTTCATTGTCCTGCGTGCTCTCCTCATTAAAGACTGTTACTCGTTCCAGTTTGTCTGTCTGCCTGCTTCCCTCATCCGCATGTGGATCCTTGTATCTGCCTCACTCACCGGCACATTGTGACAGAATGATCCAACCCAGTAAAGGATCCAGTGGGGAGGTTCTGCCTTGGGAGTGTTTGCTCCAGATTGTAACCGCGGATCACCGGCCGGCTTCTCCTCCTCTGGTCTTGTCTCGCCGCAGACACCGTCGCCGAACCCCGGCTGCGACGATCCCCTCCGCCCTCCTGGAGCTAGATGTGGGGTTGAACCATGAGACGTAGCTAGACCGCTCCTGCTACGTGGGCACCAAACTGGCTGTGTGCTCCCCCGGAGCTGGCCCATGGCGTTGGGAAGGATGCCAGGCTCCATCGTGAACCCCTGGTCCCAGGACGGAGCCACGAGCTCGATGCAGTTCCGGCTTGGCGCGCCAGCTTGGACCTGCCCCCAGTCAGACCAGCAGTCCCGTCTCCGGTCCAATCAGCGCCTCCGTCATCTGCAGGCGGAGGAACCACGCCTACAGCCCAGCTGACAGAGCTCGCCGGCCTCCAGGCGGAGCTTGGCCGGATCCGTCAGCTCGTCAGCCTCCGGGGGTTCCAGCTAGACAATCAATCCTCCCTGCTCTCCCAGTTTCTGGCACCACCAGTTCAGTCAGCTCCAGTTCCAGCGGTGGTCCACCGCATCCTCTTCCAGTGGTGGTCCCGGTGGATGCACCACATCCAGTTCCCGTGGTGGTCCCGGAGGTCGCACCGCATCCAGTTCCAGAGGTGGTCCGAGAGGTCGCACCGCATCCAGTTGCAGCGGTGGTCCTGGAAGGAGCACCGCATACGGTCCAGCCTGTCCAAGCGGTCCCGTCTGTAGCCACTCCTCCACTCCAGAAGCCGGCAGTCCAGAAGCCGACGATCCAGATGTCGAAGCTCCCGGACCAGAAGTTGACGCCCCCGGACCAGAAGTCGACAGTCCAGAAGTCGACAGTCCAGAAGTCGACGGTCCAGAAGTCGACGGTCCAGAAGTCGACAGTCCAGAAGTCGACGCTCCCGGACCAGAAGTCGATGCCCCCGGACCAGAAGTCGACGGTCCAGAAGTCGACGGCCCAGAAGTCGATGGACCAGAAGTTGACGCATCTGGACCAGGAATCGACGCCCCCGCACCAGAAGTCGATGGTGGTCGATGCCTCTTCCAGTCCTGTGGTCGACGCCTCTTCCAGTCCTGTGGTTGACGCCTCCTCCAGTCCTGTGGTTGACGCCTCCTCCAGTCCTGAATTCGACGCCTCCTTGTGTTCTGAAGTCGACGCCTCCTCGTGTTCTGAAGTCGACGCCTCCTCGTGTTCTGAAGTCGACGCCTCCTCGTGTTCTGAAGTCGCCGCCTCCTCGTGTTCTGAAGTCGACGCCTCCTCGTGTTCTGAAGTCGACGCCTCATCCACTCCAGAGGTCGACGCCTCATCCACTCCAGAGGTCGACGCCTCATCCACTCCAGAGGTCGACGTCTCATCCACTCCAGAGGTCGACGCTCTCTCCAGTCCAGAGGTCGACGCTCTCTCCAGTCCAGAGGTCGACGCTCTCTCCAGTCCAGAGGTCGACGCTCTCTCCATTTCAGAGGTTGACGCTCTCTCCATTCCAGAGGTCGACGCTCTCTCCATTTCAGAGGTCGACGCCTCCTTGTGTTCTGAAGTCGACGCCTCATCAACTCCAGAGGTCGACGCCTCATCCACTCCAGAGGTCGACGTCTCATCCACTCCAGAGGTTGACGCTCTCTCCAGTCCAGAGGTCGACGCTCTTTCCAGTCCAGAGGTCGACGCTCTTTCCAGTCCAGAGGTTGACGCTCTCTCCAGTCCAGAGGTTGACGCTCTCTCCATTCCAGAGGTCGACGCTCTTTCCATTCCAGAGGTCGACGCTCTTTCCAGTCCAGAGGTCGACGATCCCTCGTGTCCAGAGGCCGACATCCCCTCCAGTCCAACATCTCCGCCGTCTCCAGTCCAGTGGTCGACGCCGTCTCCTGTCCAGCGGTCGACGCCGTCTCCATTCCTGTGGTCGACGCCGTCTCCAGTCCTGTGGTCGACACCATCTCCAGTCCCGTGGTCCACGCCGTCTCCAGTCCCGTGGTCGACGCCTGTCACACCCTGTCCTGTGTCTCTGTTAATTGCTCCCACCTGCCTCTTGTTTTCCAATAACCCAAACTCCCAGCCCTCTTGTATTTAAACCCTGTTAGTCCATTTTGTCTGGTTGGATCATTGTTTCATTGTCCTGCGTGCTCTCCTCATTAAAGACTGTTACTCGTTCCAGTTTGTCTGCCTGCCTGCTTCCCTCATCCGCATGTGGATCCTTGTATCTGCCTCACTCACCTGCACGTTGTGACGGACTCAACCCCAGTGCCGGTTGATACTCTCATTTGTCTCCGCTCTAATCCTGCTTTTGGACTGTAAGAACTTTTAGTTACGGACTCATATTCTCCTGGTTCTCTGGTTCTGGCCTCGCTTACCTTCTGTTTTTATCCTCATAGATTCCGGTACCATCCTGTTCCTGTTCACAGAAGCAGCGCCCTTAGTTCTAGTTCTTTTTTCTGTTCACCATAAAATAAAACATTTGTATTTTTTTACTTACCTCTTGTGTGATTCTTAATGTCCTGTGTGAAGTACATTACCCACAACATGACAGTCAGATATTCACCTCAGCGTTTCTAAGGCAGAAAACTCAGTGAAAATCAGGCGCACATAGCGAGGTAACTGCTGAGCAAACGGTCATTCGAGATTGTTTGCTCAGCAGTTTGCTCTCGTGTGCGGCAGGCTTTAGTCATCACACACTGGTGAAATTCCTCTACGCATCTAACCCATCCCCGTGGTGGTGGAGAGCTACAGCTGTGGCCGCACTTAGGAACCTTTTATGATTTAACCTCCAATCGAACCCCTTAAAAATGAGTGGCAGGCAGGCAGGCACTGGGTCCCATTATTAAATTATGGTATGACCCAACTGGGATTTGAACTCTGATCTCCCAGTCTTAGGGCAGACCACTAGGCCTCAGAGAAGGTTCCCACACATTAGTTATGTTAAAGCTAGGACTCAACATAGCTTAAGCAGAAAACGTGCTTCGTCATGAAGTGATGTCTTCAACCCATTCACTGTTTATTTTTATATTTTTTTTCTAAAAATATTCCTTCTATGAGATGAAGCCTCTCCTAATCCTGTTTTCCAGGCAGTCCTCGCTCTCTCGGGCATCTCTGTAGACTGAAGGTCAGGAAGTGTTTGACCACGAAGAGACTCAACAACCCTGAAATCCTGAACTCTGATCTCTTTCCTCCAAGGCTGAAGCGCTTCATTTTGTATGAGGACCTGAACCTTTACGGCCCGGAGCATAAATCAGTCATGTGAAGATCAGCAGAAGCTTTCATCAGACAGATTCTCCTGCAGCTGCAAATCTTTTTCATTTCTTGTTTGTTAATAAAAAATTGTTTAACTTGTTTCTACTTTCTCCAAGATGAAATGAACATGGACTGATAGCATTGCTATAAGAGCAGAGAAGAGCTGCTGAGGTAGCCTGGAGGTCCAAACAAGGAGTTGGTGAACATCCAAATGTGTGCGTTCCCCCCCCCCCCCCCCCCCCCCCCCCAGGAGCTTTGATGCTTTGAAATAAAACAGTTTGGAAAAATATTCGATGCATGTGTGTGTCTTTACTTGTAAATGACAAGAGATGCGAGGTAAACTTCAGCAGGAGATGACGTGTCTCTAAAGTGCCTTGAGGACTCTTGTTGTCATAAACTGAAAACTGAATTTAAATCACTCGGAGGTCATGACAAATATCAGAGCATGTTGGCAAAGCAGAAAGTAAGAAAACCATTTTACCTGGATTAGTTTGGGGTCATTACAGTATTTTTGTGACTGCTGGAGGTTTGAGCAGCACAACAGTAAAAGTGTGTATTCTTTAAAAATATATTTCATGACTTTTAGTTTTTGTTGGACTCCTGTGTTTTCCACATTATTCCAGAGAGCTTGATGCTACTAAAGACTTATCCAGACTAGATTAACACTCTGACAGTTAAAACTGAAAAGGGAGGACACACAAAGACACGCTTATTGTAACAACCTGTTTAAAACATGTCCAGTGTTACAGGATTTTACAACGCTGAATGTCAGACTCCTGAGCAAAAGGGGAGCCAATCGTGGTGAACCTTTGGTGACATCAGAAGCTTTATTTTTGTCTTTTATTGTCTTTTTTGTTCAGACATTGTGGTGTTGAGACAGGATAAGTGTAATCCAGGGTTTCCTTCCTGATGTTACCCAGGTGTTGTTCTAGAGATCAAAGCATAAACAGGTTGGGAGCTTCATTAATACCCTCAGGTTGCTAATTTGCATCTTGTTTTCTGCCTCCAGCTGGTATGCTGGATCTTATTAGCTCTGTATGAAACCATGGTAACTATGGCTTCAATACCATTTCCCTCATTCCTTTGGCTTTCCCTCATTGTCATTATTAAATGTTGGGTCCCAGTTTGGCTATTATAAACGTGTGTGCTCTCTAGTTGCTCCTTCTTGTAAACAGAAAGGTTTTTTTTTCAAAATTTTAGAACATCTTTCAAAAGGCTCCATATTTTTGTCACGCCCTCCCTCTCTCAACACTCACAATCCTCATCCAGAGGACAATCTACCCACTCCCGCCAGCAGAACTCCATACCCAGCATTCCCAGCACCAGACCTCCAGCTCACGTCACATACAATCTCTACAAAGGGAAGCGCTGTACTTCACCACTTCACTCAATCATCGTTCTCACCGAACCGTGTCCCGAGTGCTGACCAGACCTAACCAGCTCAGACCAGATGAGCCCGAGTCATCCAACCTGCCAACTCCCAGTAAGTCAACCTTGTTCCCTTTTGGGTTCAAAGACCAAATGCACACTCGAACTCCCGCTAAATCAGCTCAGCCCCAGCTGTGCCTGACGGTTTTTGGTCTCTTGTTTCAGAAAGTGAAACTCACAGAGGAAAGAAGCACCACAAAGGCCTGAGTGTAGAAATGAGCATCTGCTTTTCAGAAGCGTAACGATGGTTTAAAATACACTTAAAGGAGCTTTTGTAAATTGTTTTGGGTTTTCTCACCAATAAGCCACAATCATCAAAATGACAATAAATAAGGTTTTAAGTATTTACCTCTGTGTGTTATGAATCTGTATAATTTGTGAGTTTAATTTTTTAATTAGTTCTACAAATATTGAATCCTTCCAGAACATTACATTTTTTAGAGACGAACCGGGAATGGCCCGACACAGGGTCAGAATCTCCATGAAGTAGTTTTAGAGCTGCACACATTTCCTCCCCCAGTTCATGATTGAAAAATCTATAATTTTGTGTGGAAAAAAGTAGAATTTAAAGCTACAATTTGGAGTTTTCCTCTTTTCGGCATTTATTTATGATTTTGTAGAAATCCATAAAAGTGATAGTTTTACCTTGTACCGTGAAATAATTTAGACAATACATGTTTTTCCTGCTAAGCCTGTCCCCCATCCCGTATAGGTCCCATGCAGTACCAACTGGGCTCCTTGCTTGTGAACAATTAGTTTTTTGAATAAAAAAATATTAGTGGTGGGAATTTAATGTGTTTATTAAGATGAATTAATTAGAAAAAAATAGGCTTTAAAAAAAATTAATGCATTATGCCAGAGGGTCACCCAATTGCCCTAAATATCAATAAGTGTTGTCAAGCTGCACCTCTAAAAAAACATCAGAACCTTAGCTACAAGATGCTCTAAACACATGTTAATGATAATGTTGTTTTGCCCTATGAGTAGGAGTGCTAGGCCAAGGAATGGGACCATTTAGTTGTTTTAATTAAGTTAAATTCATGTATATATATATATACATGTATATATATATATATATATATATATATATATATATATATATATATATATACACATAGAGTATAAGCTTCAATGTTCTCAGCAGTCTGCACACGACGGGGTGAACACGTCACAGATGTGGTGCCTGTATGCAAAAGATCGATCACTGTTCATTACAGCTTAGAGCAGCTGATTGGTTGACTGGAGTTCTACTTGTGAGCCGATATAAGGTGGCCATCAGCATGGTTATGGGTAAAATGGTAAAGTAAAACCAGGAAGATAAACATCTTCATCCTTAGCATTATCATCAGCTTCTGACACCTTCTGTGTGAGTTAAGAAAGCCCCCAGTCATGAACTGCTGAGTGGATCTCAGGCACCATGAACCCAGCGTAGAAGAGGAGGAGCAAGTGGAACCATCAGGGATAAAGCCCTGCACAGCATGCTCCACAGGTAGGACCAGGAAGTGGCAGAAGTCCTGCCGGTGTGTACAGGAAGATCTGTGTCACACATCAAAGTGGGAAGAATTACAGATCCAGCCTGATAAGCAGGTGAGGACTAACCAACCGAACCGAACATCACAGTAGGCAACAAACTGAAGAACACGGGAGTGATGATGGATGTCGAGATCCCAAAAGACAGGAACATCAGAAAAAAGGAACATGAGAATCTGGAGAAACGCCCAGTCCTGTAAGAGGACTGTAGAAAGTCAAGGCCTCAGTAGTTTAGACCAACCAGTGTGGCTCCAGCAGATGCAGGGACAACCTCAGAGAACTCTGTCCAGAAGAAAGCTGTTCTAGGAACAGCTAAAATACTGAGAAGAACCCTCAAGCAACCAGGCTTCTGTCTGAGGGCCTGATCTAGGAGTGAGAAGTGGATGATTCCTTTAGACCTTTAAGTCCTGTTTTTATGTAGTGCCTTCTAGAGTCCTGGAACCCCCCAAGGTGCTTTACAACACAGCAGTTATTAAAGAAACATTTCAACGGGTGAACGCTGCTGTCTAGCTGATCGTGTTGTTTTCCTGTTTCCTTCCTTGCTCGTCTGAAACTGCTTTTGTCCTTTTCTTTAATCGTTCACCAGCAGTTTGAAGGTGCGATCACATAAACTATTACAGAGGTTAGTTTAACCTTGTTCAATCGCAACCCTCAGCACGTCACCCAGAGCAGGTGTTTTCCTCTGACACGACTCCTGGATGGTCATTTGAACATCAGGGTCTAGAAAGTCATCTCCATCCATGTCACCAGCCCAGTCTATTTCTCTGAACACGACTCAGGACTGTTGTCTTTATTCCTGAAACGTTCCTCTGAGACGACAGTAGTATTACCTTTTGTTGGCTGAAAACTGGATTTGAAAGACTGTTTTCTATAACTGTCCCTTCCAGCAGCTGGGATCAACGACTATAAACCGATTTCATCCGATTTTCTGACCTCAGTGATCAGTCTCATGCGAGACAGTCACTCACCTGCAATAACAGGCAGCTGATGTGCAGAAACAAAAGTTGTCCACTAGATGGAGCTGTCACATGTAGCTGGTTCAGCTTCTCAAAGGGACATGAACGTTGCAAACATACGCACATCTTTTCATGTTTTTATTATCAAATTTATCGACACGAGAAAAATTTTCTCGATAAGAGTCCGAAATTGCGATAACGATAAATTTTCTATTTATTGGCCAACCCTATTCTGATTGGCTAACAACAACATGACTCTTCTGCTGCCACCTGTCTTGGGTAAAAATGCAACGTTGGTGTTTTGGCTCCACAAATAACTCAAGCCTGCCCCAACATGTTGTGGAGTTGATAATGGTTAGTGTGTGAATGGCTGTTGTGTTGTAAAGCAGCTTGGGGGGTTATAAAACTCTAGAAGGCAGGTCATTTATCTACATGCCATGAGATGCACATCCCTAAAAAAGAAAAGCAGGTTGAGTTTGGAACAGCAGTAGCTCAGGAAGTAGAGCGGGTCGTCCGGGAATCAGAAGGTTGCAGGTCCAACCAGATGATGCTCCTTAGGCAAGACACATAACCCACGTGGTGGTGGTCGGAGAGACCAGTGGCGCCAGTGTTTGGTCGGCCTTGTCTCTGTTCCCAGAGCAGCTGTGGCTACATCGTAGCTCATCTCCACCTGGGTGTGAATGTGTGTGTGAATAGGTGAATGACTGTGTAGTGAAGTGCCTTGGAGGGTTGTAGAACCCTAAGAAGGCGCTATACAAATACAGACCATTTACCATGTTTTGCAGAATATGCATCTGATCCCATTCTGAATGTAGGTCAAACTGCTCTCCAGATCTGCTCTATGAAGGCTAATCATACACGCATTCCTTCGAAATTTCCCCTCAACATGAAATTCTAGCATATCACAAAGCTAGAGCCTTTTCTGACCCACTTCCTTCTGTTCACACTTTATAAGTCAGAGTTTGCAGACGTGTTTCTATGAACAGAAACAACAGCACAGGCCAACCCTGCCATCTGATGGACAGTGACACTGCAGCAGGCTCCTCCTCTGTTCTGTTTGTTTCTGCAGATGAACAACATGCTGATCATCAGGATCAATCAGAATGACTCTGAAAATAAAACACACAGCAGGATATAAAGCCTTCATCCACATGTTCACACTATCACACAATTAGGATAATTACT